TTTTGATAATAAACCTACTTACATAAGATTACATAAAATAAATAACATAATACAAATAAATATAATAGACATACACATAAATACATAAACATAATAATAATATAGATGTACACATCACTCATGTCTGAGATAGCGAGAAAATGGAGAAAAAAAGGTCATTCCTTGAAATGTTTGCGCAAAGCCTTTATACAGCTTTATATATATTTATACAGGTTCAGAAAAAAACACACCTGAGAACGTAAAAGCTTTTATGTTTTCATTTACTTTTACTATCAACGCCTAGGTGTAAGCAGTGTAAGTGATTTTCAGTTTCCCGCTCGACTTCAACATCTTTTACCTCAAAATGTACATTAGGTAGGATACAGGTTGTTAGGTAAATGGGTATATGAGCCGACACTAGCCCATGTTAACATATGCATATAAATGGTATGGTGAAGTCAGAAAATTGATATCATCATTTTAATTATTTTAATTTTCATACAAATCTGTTTTTATAAATTTGATTTTGTATGAACATTTAAAAAAATAAAATGATGATATCAAACTGACTTCACCATACCATTTATATGCGTATGTTAACATGGGCTAGTGTCGGCTCATATACCCATTTACCTAACACCCTGTATATTTTAGTAAATAAGGTTGAATATTTTTCTAACATTTCATAGAAGGGCGAGAGGATTACTAGCTTATCATATGAGAAAGGTCAGGTTAGACTGACGCACATATTTTGTATTTACTTACCTTGGAAATATTAAATGTGCAGTGCCAGTTTTTGGAAGGACTCTTGAAACCGAATGGTTTAATCTTCATAACCGTTCCTTAACAATTAGGGTAAACGAGGGTAGGTAAATGTTTAGAGCGTCTGCATTATATGTGGAGTTATACATAGGCGGCAATATCTAACTCTAGCCCCAAACTAAACAAAGGTGTTATGTATTATTGCTATATACCAGGCTAGCTTTCCGCCCGCGGCGTCGCGCTACATATTTTACGGAACCCTGTTTTTTTCCAAAATAAAATTTAGCCTATGTTACTCGTGGATAATGTAGCTTTCGAATGGTGAATGAACTTTAAAAAACGGTTCAGTAGTTTTTGAGCCTATTCATTACAAACAAACAAAGTTTTCCTCTTTATAATATTAGAGTAGACAACTTCAAAAAGTTAGTACCGTTAATATCACTTCAGTTACGTACGTCAGCGTCACGTGGCAGTGGGCGGGGCACATAGCTCGTAGAGACGATGGCCGTTGGGGCAGGAAAGTTCTCGAGTGGCGACCACGGGCTGGAAGACGTAGCGTGGGCAGGCCTCCTACTAGGTGGACAGACGATCTGTGTACCTACCATGAGTTTACGTTAGGTGTGCTCGCTAGCGAGTACGTCAAAAATCTCTATGAAGATTTTGCTTCTTGAAAGTAGCCGCTAGAGGCGCTGCACGATATGTCATACAATTAAATGTCATTTTTTTACGCAGTCGCTAGCGAGCACACCTAACGTAAACTCATGGTAAGCACACTGGTAAAGGTCGCGGGAAGAGCCTGGATGCGGGCAGCGCAGGACCGTTCATTGTTGAAAACCTTGGGGGAGGCCTTTGTCCAGCAGTGGACGTCATTTATTGGCTGAAACGAACGAACGTACGTCAGCAACACAACACATTGCGACATTGCTGCAGACGTCATAATGTAAACAGTTTACATTGATTGCGTAGTACTAAAGATTATTCGAACGTTAAGTACTGATACCGCAGTGGATAATGAGCACATATTTCGATTACTTTGTGTGTGTGAATTTCTAATGCGACACTGAGTTTCGAACTCAGTGTTTTAAAAGTCATTGAACGAAGTCTCTAAGTTCCTACTAATACCATCCTAAGATTCATTCATCTCTCCAAAGTTTGGGAAACTGTTTACCATACACTTGAGGGTCATCCATAAATAACGGCTCGCACTTAGTCCACGTCCAAACTTAGAACAGACTGCCAATCCTAGTTGTTAGAACTCAATTTGTGGGATTAATTAAATGTTTTGCTAAGTATTATAGGTAAGTATTATAGCACAGAGGGAACATAAATTGTTATAATAGCACATTGGGTAAGATTCTAAAATGTTACCTAAAAAAATTAAAAAGAAGGATTCAGTTTCAAAAAATACATAATGTTCATTTAATTGAATGACAGCCCATAATATGTTACATTCTTAGTTAACCTCATCAGATAATCCTCATCAGATTGTATTTATTTATTTTGCATTTAATACACATCTCAAACTTTCTTTCTCTCAAGTAGATTGTCCGTTTTCTTATTTAATTTACAATTTACATTAATTTATGTACCTATTTGTATGAATATGAATGAATGCTCTTCTATTCCTGCTGTGCGCTGGCCTATATGCTGGTAGTGTAACGTTTACGTGACAGATGGTGTATTTTGCTCTCATATGAAATGTGTGGCGTACGTTCATTTGGGTGTCCCTTAAAGAAATTGCCTAGCTATTGGGTTTCATAAAATATCTATCTTAAATGATACAGAACAAACATTTTTCAATGAATTTACTCATCTAATTTGTAAGCTGAGCAGATACCTATTTGATACAACAATTTTATTATTTTTACTCTTTATGTTAATTTGTATCATTCTATTTTTAATACCAAATAAATATTTTTTCTTTCTTTGATTCAAAAAAACGTAGTTCCATTTTACAATTGTTTTATTATTATTTCACAACATACAATACCAACACTAAATCCTTATAAGTACCTAACCTAATCCACAATTTATTTTGATTTGACTCGATCCACAGTCGACAACACATTAAACCATCAATTTTACTGCAATTATTACACAAACATTACTATGAGGTCTCACAGTGCGCGTGAACGCAAAGTGTAACATACGAACCAATCACAGAACTCTATTCAACGCTGTGCGTTCGATTTGCTGCTTCGCTTAAGCAAGCACCTTTGTAAATACGGGCGTAAGATGGCACAACGCTATGCTTGACGTGCCGCCGTCTGTACTCAAGTAAGAATCTCAAAATAGCTCGGCTGTGCACATCAGGCCTTTGATGTCCTTGGGAGCGCCTAGGGATTATGTGGAATGATTTTATGGGGTAATTTCCGCAAAATCGCTAAATACTAGCCCCAAGGGTCGACTAAAGGATTAAATCGTTCATTAAGGGCTTTCGGCATATCTGTATGCTAATCGCGGTTGAGGGTAGTAGGACGGGAATTTTAAAATGTGTCGACTCAGACGTGATTATAATCTGTACTAGCTCTTGCTCACGGCTTTTCTCACATGAATTTTGAAAGATATGCGCGTGTTTCTCGTTAAAAAACAATACCTACTTAATAATTTTTTATTAATGTGATATCTACGAGTATGTGATATTTCCAAGGTTTACCAATTTTTGTCTAGATTGGTTCAGTGGTTAAAGCATGAGGGTAAAAGACACGTCATACAATACAGAGAGGGTTACATAAACGTTTATTAAATTATTATCATACTTAGGGCTGATTTTTCAATGGTCAGGTTATGCATAAAAAAACTGAGTAACTAAGTTTGGCACATTGACAGTTTTAGTATGGGAAATATTATGTCAAAACCACAAGGTTATTCTTCATTAAAAGATAATTATCTGACGATTGAAAAATCAGCCCTTTGTTAGCTAGAGCAACATACAATAAATAGATAATAGTAAGCCACTAACATCTGGATTTGAAAAAATATTTATCGTGGGTTCTTCGCGATTTACGTGTCCCTTGAGCCTTTTTTAACGGATAAAAAATAGTTTATGGCGATTCTGTTCTGTTGTAAGACCCCATTTTACCACTTGCACAGTAGTTTACATAGTATCTGTTAACATAGGAACTTTTCAGAAAACTACACATGCCGCAAGCTCGTTTGACATATTATGTACAATATTTTAGATAAATATGGTATCCATACAAAAAACCCCAGACAAAAGCTAGCACGTAAAAACCCCTAAACCTGAAATAATGTGCCTAAATAATTCACTTAGGAAGTTATAACTGTCACGTAGCTTTAACTGTTGCCCACCATTTAGGCAAATGAGTAATATTAGCAATTTTGTCACGTTATCGGCCCACAAAACTAGGTTTATACGTTCAGAATCTAAATATTATCGAGATTTGAAACATTGGTCATAAAACAAAAGGTCGCTCACAAAATCTTAGTGACTTTTTCCTGTGATGCTTTAAATATTTTAGCACAGAATNTAGCGGGAAAAAACATTTGTATGAAAAATCTAAACCGCTTAAGTTAGACGCTTGAATTTTGGCATGCAGGTACCTTAGTAAACTTAAAGCTAAGTTACAGGGCCATTCTTAAATTTGTGCCAATTTTTTTTTTAAAATTAAAGATTTTTTTTTAACTTTTTGCGATGTGTATCGAAAGTATAAACCAAAAGCATACTTTTGATGTATATGGACAACCTTAAANCCAGCAGTAAAAGAGGAGTAGGCTTTACAAAATGCCCATTTGGCGCGGATTGAGGACACTAATCGCCTTAATGCATTTAAGGGCTCTCGAACCTCATTATAACTTTGCCAATTGAATATTAAAGATTAATTAGGGGTCCCGCAGATGATAAAATACTTAATTAATTCTTTCTTTTCTCTTGTCTTGACTTTATAAAGGTACTGTTACACGCGCGCGCATATGCTTTTAGATTATTTCTTTTAACTAATTTCAAATAACTTTACAACCCTGGTGTCTAGACTTCATGCCGTTCTTTGTCTAACATAGCTCAATCATACAGCACTTTATGCTTGACGTAGCTCCCCCGAAACAATAGGTATCTTTTCAGATACTAACTACTAGATATTAGATACGATTACACAAAGCGGTCTTTCAATTTCTGTGTCCCTAAGAACCAACTCTGACCCCTTCCCTTAATATGTTTTCTATATTGTAATATTCTTTTCATGAGTAAACCAACTTGGAAGTTACCCCGCTATTTACCCAATTGCTTCGGATTTCTCACAATGATATACCGAGGTTTGGTAACAAAAGATAAAAATAATTATTATCACTGACGGGATATATTTTTTGAGTTTCCGAAATTTTTTTTCCATTATTTTCCTTAATTTTGAGTTTCCGATATTTCAGCACTGTTGCAAGCGCCATGGTCACGGAGTAACTGACGAAACTTGCGGGTGAGATGTTATGGGCAGACATATCGGTCTAAATTAAGGTACATGGTAGCAATCCCGTCAGTAATAATAATTATGTTAGTGATCATGAAAGTTTAAAACAAAAGATAAAAATACTATATCCAGCTCCAGGCAGTGTCAGAGGGCCCTTAATAAAAGTTGTCGTGTTCCGCCGCCATTGTCGCTAGTGGCGCACAGATACGACAAAGTTTAGTTTCCAACTGGTTATTTACTTTACTCGCCGCTTCCTGGAAGATGCCAACTTGGACTCTGGAATTGCACTGGAATTCTGCCTACAGTAAAACTATAAAAAGTAAAGAAATTTCCCCTCAGAAGTAATAAGGATGTCACCTAACTAGTCTTAGAAGGAAACATTTAAAATGTGAACTAACCTCGTTAGGGGAACCTTTTAACAATAGAGAACTTCTTAGGAACTTATTTAGCTCACAATACACCTTCCTGATGTTTTACTTTGTGCCCTCGTGGACGTTGTTTTCAGAAAAGTAATTAGATTTTCCCTAGAAATTTCCATTGTAGCGTTAAAAATAATTAGCCTTAGATTTATTTTCACGCAAAAACAAGCTTTGTTTTATTTATTTCGAGTGTCCACTTAAACAGTTTTGTTTCACGGCCTTTATTTTAGAAATTCTTAAATTGACTAGTACAACAATATTCATTATAAAAATGACAAATGTACTTTACTCGTGTTTTAGGTTTAAAGAAATTTATTCTCATCAGAAAAACTTACATATTATATGTAAGGGTTCTTACACACGAACAGCAATTTGCTGTCGACGCATGTAACTGCAGTTGACGTCAGAAGGCGACGGCTAGCTGTCGACATGCCGCCGCCGTGCTGTCGACGCGTTCGCGGCTGCCGCCGGCAGGTGGCGACAGCTAGCCGCCTCCGCCATTTTGAAGGTCAACTGTCAGTAGTCCAGGAGCTTACACGCATACCTAATGAGTTCCGAAAAAATTGATTCGGAATTGCTAAAAAATCAGTGCTGCCAAAAACAATAAAATAATATGGAACTCGAATTTAGAAGGCTAGCATAATAAAACATTAAAAAAATAGAGTTCGGTGTGTGTAGTCTCGTTCTCTATTCAATAACATTTCTTAAACCCACAATGACCGGTTCTTTCTCTTTCGTCCACGACGACGTAGTAAAAGCAACAACAGTGTTTCTTCAATTAAATCCATTTTCACCTGGCTCCTGTACAAAGACGTACGCCGACACGGTCGTCGCAGCAAGCTGTCGACATGTGGACTGCAGACGTCGACGTATCGACAGCTTGCTGCGGGCACGTCGACAGCTAGCTGCCGACAAGTGACGGCGACTGCGGTCGCTTTTGCTGTCGTCAATGTGCTGCTCGTGTGTAAGAGCTCTAACAATAAAAAGTAAAATCATTTATTTTTCAAAGAAAACTGTAGTCATACATGTAACAGTAACAGCGTATAGCTAGCTACAAATTCATTTGTTTTCTATATTTAGGGCTGATTTTTCAATCGTCGGATAAGTTTTAACTGAAGAATAAGTTTGGCACATTGACAGTTTAAGTACGGGAAATATGTCAAAATGACAAGGTTATTCTTCAGTTAAAAGATATCTGACGATTGAAATATCAACCTTTAGACTTGTAAATAATTATTAATATACCCGACCACAGCTCCGGGACAATAATTTTAGCGTGTTCAAATTTGGCACTTCAACTCTGCGAAATTTTGAGGCCCCGCCGCACAGCCACAAATGAGTTGCAAATACGTCGTATAATGGCCGCGGGACAATAGTGGGACTGCGGGACCATTATCCGGGACGGAGCCCCGGGATAAGTATTCATTTGCATGGTAATTAAAAAAGCTGCCGAAGTGGGCCTTTGTGATCAAAGAAAGCTCCTCGTAATGACCAATAGTAATTCTTTAACGACAGTATTCACAATTCTATAGGTATACAGTTTTCATTTAACAATTTGGAGATAGTGAATGTATTTTTTACGCCTGCACATAATCTTGTACACTTTAGAAAAAGAGGCTCATAATTGAGAATGTTACTAGGTATGCAAAATCACTTGAAACCTATGTTACAGTTAAGCTTTTACATTTACAAATACATTAGTTTTTATTTCATTCAAAAATACCCAGTAATTATGATTTTATAGGCATTCAAAGTTCGCTTAAATATTGAGACCCGCCGACGGTCACGTGACCCCGTGTGACGTACATTCACAGCGTCCGCTCACTAGAAAACGGATATAAACATACTTAAATAATTTTTTTTTGTAAATACAAACTTATTATACATATTAACACCCAGACCCATCACAGAAATTAAAATTGAACCAAACCCAAACTTGATGCGATTGTGTCGTTTTATTGCGAATTACCTTCCAGCTCCATCATTAGACCCCGATTACTATATAGAATTAAAATACTCATCAATACAAAACGAACGAGCCCAAACTCGATGCATTTAAGTCGTTTTATTATAGAGTTCCTATGGCCACCTTCCAGCTCCATCATCAGATCAGCTCCATGTCATCATAATATTGCATGGTCATCCAAATCACATGTGTTTGCGAAATTTCAGCTTAATCGGTTGCCTGCAAGTGGGTCTTAATTCAGTTTGCAAGATTCCACCCATACAAATATGAGCCAGTCGTTGTAATATGACGTCACGCGCATAAAATGGCGGGCCGGCCGCCGCCCGCACTTTTAAAATTCAATATCTTGGAAACTAATTAACGTATCGAAATAATTCTTTCACGTGTATTTTTTATTTTTAACAGAGAATACAGAAAGCTAAAAAACGAAATTAGTGAACATTCTTCATTGTGACTGACTAGTGCTACTTCTCAGCATTGTCCTAAAGCAGTGGTAGTGTTTTAATCTTTAAGCCTAGGTTTAGACCATCGATTTTTCGTCGGCCGATAGTTTAGTCGGGCAGTTGATCAGTATGGGCTTGTATGGAAGTGCGCACACTACGCCGATTGATTTGGCCGATTCTTCATACAATTTAAAATCGGGCACAACTATCGGCCAACTAAAAATCGGTGGTCTGCGCCCTGTCTAAAAGTTATGCTGAAAGACTTATTTATTTAAGCAGCTAGGAAACTCTTTAATTGGCTTAGATTTCATGCTCATCAAACTAACATGAATATTGTAAAACAGCTGTTGAGTTTCTGAATAAATAAATAAGACTTTTATGATAAAAGGTTTGGATAAACGCACGCAGACCTGTTAATAGACCTTGATCCTCATCTATTATAATTTCTACTGCCTCGTGTAAAATTATATTATCATTTTGACCCAGCTGTACATAGGTAGCTTGGCAAAATTTAACTCTCTGGAAAGTTTATATTTTGAAGTCCAGTAGATTAACCTTATTATGTAAATTTAATCAATATTCCCTCTGTTTTAGTATAAAGTTTAATTAAAACAGAGCAGAGCAAATATTGCTAAGAATAACGGGCATGCTTCAGGGGCCTTTAATTACACCTTTGCTATTTCGCAAACGTTCTCTAATTAACTTCCATATAAAGTAGCTCTAGTTTGCAAGGGAATATCATAATAATGTTACTGGATATTTTATGAGACGGGTGTTGCAATTAAAACTTCATTAGAGTTATTTTGAATTACTGTTTCTTTGTAAATGTACCAATTAGTCTGATATGAAATACTAGGCAGACAGAAAGGAGTAGGAGCATTATGAACCATTATGAATACATTCGCACTCCACTCATTTATTCTAATTGTCATAGGACTCGAGTGCAGCTTAAATAAGTAGGTACATGGCAAGAAAGATCTGTCCATTATTACTCATTTTTCTTTTACAACTTTTTAAAGAAAATGAAATCCTTACTCTATGCAATTCTCTTCACTGGGACCGTCCAGGCGGTTTGCACCTGACGGTAGTACATAAAGCAAACACAATCTGTATAACGAGATGAGATGTACCCCTTCCCCCTCCCCACCCCCTCTTTGTTTCTCGACGACTTGTTTTAATATTAAATCGGCGGATTTGTTCTGTGCAAGACTTGCAAGTTATTTTGAGTGTTTAAGCCGGTGACGTCGAGTTTAGGGTGAAGAGTTTAACGTTGTTTATTGTTATTGTGATTCTGATTCATCTTAATGTTTGTAACTCGAATCACGCGCTAAGTGTGGGGATTTTAATGACATTTTGCACAAATATCTTGACATACATACCTTCGCTTCAAAATAGTTTATTTCTTATGGCTCTTTTTGTTAATCTTCAATTGAAATTTTGAGTAAGTGCTTCGGAGGGCACATTAGTCTAGAGATCCCTGTAAGGTATATCCATACGTCTGTAATTTAAATATTTAAAACTGAAAGTTGACTGACTGACTGACGTAATGATCTATCAACGCACAGCCCAAAACACTGGACGGATCGGGCTGAAACTTCCCAGTAAGTGCCAAGGAGGTAGACAATTCAACCGTCACATTCGGTAGTTCTGCCCACAGTCCACGTTGGCACTTATCAGCAGCGCTAGTGTGGCACTAGCCGGGCCACTTAGTCGCCGTTACTTCAACAACCAACTTGTTACTGCGAGTGGCCGAGTCGGGATACTTGGGACGATAGCACACTGGGTTGGGGTCAGTCCTCAACTCTGTAGTATTGCAAAAGACCAAAGTAGATCAGCATTTTGTTAAATACATCGGATATTTCCATAGTAAATCCCAAGAAAATAGACTACTCGACTGGCACATTTGGGAGCTCTAGTCAAACTCCACATGGCACTTATCCGCAGCACTAGCCGGACCACTTAGTCGCCATTACTTCAACAACCAACTTGTTACTGCGAGTGGCCGAGTCGGGATACTTGGGACGATGGCACACTGGTCCTCAAGTCTTTTAGGAATTACAAATGGGACAATCCCAAACTCTTTTAACTCAATACCTACCCGTAGGTACTCGTATAATATGCTAATTATGATTCTTGTGTAATCAGAAGCGCAAATTCGATTAGGTTATTTAAAAGTGCTTGAGATCAGATAAAAACTACCTTATGTCTTATATTAATTGTAGTGAATAAATTTATAGGTCCGTCACACAGCCGAGTAACCTTAAGAGTAGGCGCACACCGTTGATTTTTCGTCGGCCGATAGTTTAGTCGGGCAGATGATCAGTATGGGCATGTATGAGAGTGCCATTTGATTCGATTTGGCCGATTCTTCATACAAAATAAAATCGGGCACAACTATCGGTCAACTAAAATCAACGGTGTGCGCCTACTCTAAGAGGCATTTGCTCATACTAAACATTAATAAATGTTACCTACTAACTAATCCTCTACTTATTTCTTAAACATTACTATCACTCCACCTCTGTCTGAAGTTGCTACCCAAAATACCGAACTTGACTTTTGTAAATGAGTGAAGTTATTAGGCCACGTTTATAATTGAGGGCAAATCCGCGGGCAAAAGCTAGTATTTCCCATAATTAAGTCTTTCAGATGTTCAAATTAGGTCTTGAACATGAGTCGATTCTTCATTGTCCTCAAACCTGACAGTGTAGTAATACTCGTAGTATTTGTTAATTAAATCCCCGAGGAGATAATTAAGCTCACCTCTAATTACTTGGCTGAGAAGCCAGCTTAATGTGTAAGCTTTGTGGCTGCTAACTTATTTATGTTAGGATTATCAAACATTTCCTTGTAATAGTAACCTTTTTTAGAGACAGTGTATTTTTTTTCTGTCATACTAGGTAAGTATACTCGTATTAGTTACAGCCAAACTGGAGTTTATTACTAGGTATATCTAAATAACGCGTTTCCCGATTTCACTTCTCAATTAGTGATCTAGAAGTTCTTCAGTTATAAGTAATCTTGCACTTTCTCCTGGCAAACCTCCTAGGAAAATATGATTGTAGAATACGTCTGTCGTTTTATATTGAGTTGTAAAATAGTAGCCGCGAACAGTTTTTACCATATTCATTTATTTTTTAACTGTATCACAAGTTTTCTATACTCCAAAATAATTTAAAGTAGGTACTATTTCTTTTTCTTGTTATGCGCTAATGTTATTGTAAAATATGTGATATGTAGTACATACTTGACGTTTGACTTACACACTGATCCATCAAAGCAGCTTGTTCAAAGGAGTTGCACTTAACTCTCCATTACAGCGATACCCCCGATTGGCCTGCCCTGACGACGGCCGGCAAACTTGTGGAGTCGCTCTCAAGTGCCGAATGTAGCCTGGGCTTAACTTTGCCGTGCTTGGACTGAAACTACTCGTATACAGCAGCCTTTAATTGATATTTCATAGTTGTCGGTAAGGCGAATATGCATGCAGAGTCATGTTTTTAGATTACAACTTTTGTTCCTTAAAGATTGGGACACCTAAAGAGCCCTTTTATGGCTACCCTTTTCTTTGTTTATTTTGACGTACAGGAGTGCAAAATCGTGTTCTAAACAAAATAAAATACCTACATTACATTTTTTTTTAAAACTGTATAAGTTTTTTATAAAATTTGTCTTTATTATTGAATCGATCCCGTGCTTCAAAAGAGACGTTTCAACTCCTGTAGATCCCATTTAATCAAGGCAGACACCAGGGGCGGCTTGTAAAGTTTGACACCCGTGTATAGAACATCTACTTTCAAAACCTACATTATAGAAGAAGATATCAAACTTACTATAATACAGCTTGAACGTAAAGCAATAACGCTCATACTCCTAATGGACCTACTATAAGCTACTTAAGGTCGGTCCACACAAATCCATCCAAGTAAGTTGTTGCAAGAGACAGCTTGCGCGGAACTCTCCATTAGAGCGATATTCCAGATTGGCCCAAGCTGAGGACACAGGACTTTACGGAGTTTGTTCTAGCCAGCGGATGTGAACTAAGCCTTACTTCGCGGCATTTTGACAAAGAACTAAAACGGTGGCTTTTAAGTGAAGTGCCTAATTGATAGAGTGAGGATTCGTAGAATAAAATTCTATCAAATTAATTTTACTCTTTTTAATCCGACTTCACGACGGGACGATACCGTCTTTTGCATTATTTAACTTGTCCATACACTTAAAAAAATAGATAGAAACTTTAGTTATTTTGAAAATGAAATGCAAAACCACTTCTTTACTTTGAAACGGTTTTTCTTAGATCCAGTACACACGTCACTTTATCGTATACACTCGTACTTAGCAGCAAACAACCCTATGTAGCACGTGTGAACTTAAATATATATTAATTTACTTCGGTAAATTGTGACCTGAATCTATTAAATTTCCATAACACGTTACCACTTTAACGTATCAAGTTTCCACAATATTATCAAGTAATATGATTTACAATTTTCGCCCCAAACTCTAACGTTGATGTACCCAATTTTGTTTTAGTTTACCCTAAAAACTTGTTGGTACAGCTCCAAAATTACCCCGGATACCGCATCGTATGCCAACAACATAAGCTCCTTAGTGCATAAATTGTGTGAGTTGCCGCTAAAAAGCTCCTTAATAGAAAAGCTTTTAGTGCTGGGCGGATAAAAATAACGCCCACCATGAAATGTAAATGAAACGTTTTTGACATTCATGATGCTATGTTGATGTATTATTATAAATACTTTGAGTTGTTAGTATAGCATGCTAAATAAACTTTGAAACTTTGTAGACAGCTTAATGAAGCTCTGGGCAAGATATCGAAAACAGATAACATTTTCACTGGAACTTGGGGATTAATTAGATTAAAAATATCAGTCTTCGGCTTATAAATGGTATTTTTGTTCTTAAGTCTTTAATCCTTTTCTTTGAATGTAAGGTAATAATAATACTAAATGATTGGTTTTCAGATATGGTGTATTTTTACAGTATAATGTTTATGGTTTATTGTTGGCTATAATTTAACTAATTATATGTTTTTAACATAGGTTACATTCGTTTTCATCTACCCTTGAAATTATCATATTGTCAAATAACTAATTCGTACTAATTGGTTGTGGGATACCAGTAAAACAGATGTAACTAAGATGTTAATTGTTACGTTCGCTGCATTGTTTGTTCTTTTACCTGCATGTTTGATGTTTGCACTTTATTCTACGTATTTACTATGGTAAACGTTGTTTTAAATGGTTAGAATTTTTATTTCACTTGCCTGTGTGTGTCACTTTGTACTTGTTAGAACCTTTGTAGTTATTTGTTTCTTTTGTACTCCTCAAAGTAAGTTTTTTGAAACTTTTTGTGCAAATGGAATGTTTTCCCAGAAGTTATATTTTCACTTTGCTAGTTGTGATACACATTTTCATTACTAATTGAAATGATCTATTTACTAATGATATTTAACTGTCCAGGTGCTATACGACGGCAAGCTGTCGTCGGCCATAGTGTTCATGTACAACCCAGTGGCAACTGACGGCCAGCTGTGTCTCCAATCAGCTCCCAAGGGCAACGTGTCATACTTCGTGCACACACCGCACGCGCTCATGTTACAGGTGAACTCTTGAACACTCATGCACCCCTGGTACTTTTCAGGGCGGTTGTATGGGTGGGTATGGTAATTTTTGGACTTAGGATCAAATTAATATGTGCCATTTATGTTGGTGTGTAATGAAAACACTAAAAATACACGTTTCATTTAAATAATAATAGAAATGTACAGTAAAGCTTTTATGACCTTTTTTTTATTCTTTACGTCCGTAAATGCAAGATCCTGTGATAAAATTTTACAACCCACTTTGAATAGTCACTCCTTTAAATTCATGTATTCCTTGTCCTTCTAAATTTACCCTTAGCAACCAAAAGAAACTAACAAAAGCATTTTTTCTCAGGAAGTCAAAGCGGTGGTTACGCATTCAATACACAGCGCGTTGAACTCAATAGGCGGGGTTCAAGTTCTATTCCCGTTGTTCGCCCAACTGGACTTGCCGCACGACGCGCCCGCAGCCGATCCCAAAAGAGACCCCATGCTATGGTATGTTGTCCTGGTAGTTTGGTTTCGTTATTATAAATTTTAACATGTTCATTTTTGGTTAGAGACGGCCATTTTTGAGGGGCGGATACTGATTTTATTATTTGACTGGAAAAGTCCCTCCTACCCATTCGTTTTGGAAGGATTTAAACTGTAAAGCTTCTAAACATTAATAACGCCCGGTCTAAACTCCTCGACCTTTTGTCGGGAAGGGATCAGATAAACTGTACATAGTTACATCCTATAACGGTACGGCTCATAGCTCAACGGCCGCCAAAATAGTAAAGTTTGAGCGCTAAGTACCAACATCAGAATTAGAGTTTAATCCCCACAACTATAAAGGATGTGTGGAATTTGCCTAAACAAAGTTTCGTCTCGGCTTCCCGCTCTATTGTCGTACTCGGCGATAGTTCATGCTCCAGATACAGAATTAAGTTGGAAAGGGATTACCGAGCTAAATCACTGGTATATTGGGCTCTAGAATTTGCGAGTCCCCAGTTCTAAAGCCATTCATTAATATTCGAAGTAGCCTCCCGCGGCGTTAGGCGGCTAAATGCACTTTCACTGTCGCGCGGCAATCGCCCCTGAAACCGGGGCCTCCCCGCGCGGCCGGGTAATAGCAGCTATGAACTAACTCCTGGACAGGGATGTTAAGGATATGAAGTTTCGGTTATGGATACGGTTACGGATATTAGAATAATATTATAGTACCGGTTTCGGTTACGGATATCAAAATTTTAAAAATGTTAAATTCAATAGACCCACATCCAGCCACTTTATGTACTATGATGACGACACTTATGATAAAGGTAAAACAGGCGAGGATATCAGATTCTGACAGGGAATGTCAGACAAGTAACAAATATTAAAAACATTAAGATTTAGACTCCGCCTTTATCCGAAACTTTTGAATCGGTTTCGGTTACGGTTACGGATATCCATAACATCCCTGCTATGAACTAACTCCTCTCAACTCCTAATTGCCGGGTGTCGACTTGCGTGCCCGCCGTGATTTATTGGGGACACTTTGCGGGACAATTTATAATTTGTGCGCGGGTTATGTTCGTTATTAAATTAGGTATCTTTCATAACATTAATAATGTGGGCTCTTCGAGATTTATAGTGAATAATGAAATTCCGAAATTAATTGCAGTCGAAACAAATTGAAGGTTTAGGTACGAGTAAATTCGGGTAAAGATCGGCTTCTCGTGGGAGTGACTCCAGGTGGCGTCTCAAAGAGCAAGAGGGCCACGTCCCTCCGTTTCGTACTCACATCAAAGCGAATTAGAGCCGCGTACGTATTCGCATGTCACTTAATGAGTCAACCCGGGTCTCAGCGATCGTGATTGCGCGTAGTGAGGCGAGAGGGTTTTAGGTAGATGAAAATTGTAAATATTTGAGTTTTCGCTGTTCAAAGCTCGTGTTAAATGAAAGAAAAATACTTAAAAGTGACGCAATTTAAGTCAACTCTTAGGCCCAGAACAGACGGTGAAATGCAACTGCAACGAAACTGCAACTGCTAGTTTCTTTTGAATTGCATCTAAGTTTCTGCCATAGCGTCCGTTGAGAGACCACACATGACGCGACCAGTTTGAAACTTTCACTTTCAGTTTCGTTGCAGTTGCGTCTGTTCCGTCTGTTCTGGGCCTTATTCACTAGATAACGGAGAAGTTAGGACCGTATAAAGATTTAGTAAGAAATAAAATCTTTCAGAAGAAAGTCGTGATTTTTCCATAACTGCGTATTACATTCGCTCATGCTGACGGCGAACAAATGTTGTTAAAGCAAACAACTCGCGGGAAGTTTTCGCAACAAATAAATTCTGTTTAAAGGAACTTTTCCTTTTTTACACTCACTATAAAGGAGGGCTTTTGCGTGTGTCGGCAGCGATTCGATTGTTGGAATAACTTGGAACTCTGGAATAATACGGCCTTTAGGAATTATTGTAATTTCAAGTTAACTTCTTTGAAAGAAATGTGATTTTGTTGATCTTCGCATAATGGCTTCTGATTTTACCAGAATATTAAGCTTTGGTTCAAATTAGTAATTTAAAATAGCTTTAAACATGTATAACATACTAGCTTTCCGCCCACGGCTTCGCCTGCGTAGAATTTTGTCTGTCACAGAAAAACTTTACGGCGCGCGTCCCTGTTTCAAAAACCGGGATAAAAACTATCCTATGTCCTTTCCTGGAACTCAAACTATCTCTTTGCCAAATTTCATCAAAATGGGTTCAGTGGAAGAAAAAAGCGTGAAAGAGAGACAGACAGACAGACAGACAGAGTTACTTTCTCATTTATAATATTAGTATAAATTGCTCTATTTTTACTCGTAGATTTTCAGTAGACAACGGATAATAAGTTATTTTAGTCCTATTAATATCGGCAAAAAGTATTATTTTTTTGCGTGGGGAGCGTAGGCAAATCCACCATTTAGGTACCTCAGGTAAATTATAGATGTTCATGTAACTGTAATGTAGACTAAATGACCTTCAGGACTAATACGATATCGAGGTATTTTATCGCTTGTAGACGATAAGCCCATACTTTTGTCGACTATAATAATTTTATCATGTTGCGCATCGTAGCCCGCCTGATCATGATGACGATGGATGTCTTTTGGTTGAATTGAACAAACCAAAACTCTGTGTGTTTTCCCCGACAGCTCCAAGCTCCTCGGCTTCGTCTGCTCCCTGGTGGAGTCTTGCAGCACGGTCCAGCAGCACATGCTGCAATGCCGGGGCTTCCTGGTCGTCTCGCACATGCTGCAGCGCTGCAGCCGCGACCACCTCACCCCAGACACCCTGGCATCCTTCCTACACCTCACAAAGCACCTGGTGACTTGCTGCTCGCCCAACTCGGATCTCCTGCTGAAACAGGTAGGTTTTTATCCACGATCTACAACCCAGTCGAGTTATTGTTGTTCCAATTCACGAAGGCGAGTGAGCTTTACATGTGTGGTGGCTCGATACTGTTCGTTTTTCAGTTTTGATAGACATTACTGGGCATTACACTATCGTTATGTGCATGTACACTCACTCGCCTTCGTGAAGCGCAAGAACTATAACTGCGCACTTGGCTGAACGCGACCTCACCTCGCCGCGTTAGCCTTGTTCGTGCCAGACCGTCGATATGACGTCACGGCTGCATAGTGCGCAGTTAACTTGACCGGGTTGTATGGTTCTATATGTACAGGGATAAGGGCGTCTCGTTTAATACACAATCAAAGCACATCTAAGAAAACACAGAACACTTAATTTTAGGGATAAAACCAAATTAGTTACCAATTTGATTTTAAGTTGCTTTGAAACCAATAGGTGATGGTTACTTTTTGACGTATACCAAAAAAGTATGACCATAAAAAGAATGTCAATTGACTGTCATACATAATTAAAACTTATTTGTAAATGTTTGCTCAAATAGCAAATTAAATTGTCCTTTGTCAAGGAATCGGATCATTATTCATTATGTATCTTAAAAGTGTTTCGAACTCGTTAAATAAAATCCAGACGACCATAATGAAAATGAATAATAAGGTTTAATTCCGTCGTATAAATAGATGTTGAATAAATGAAACTGCCCGTTACCCGGGATGATAAATATTTCACCGTTTTAACACAATTGCGCGAGTACAAAGCATTTCCATAATTTCTGGTCGTTTAAAATGCGCGGGCAAAAAGAAAATTGCTTTCGTGAAAAATTTATAGCGACTACGTAAACATAATAATGTTTGCGGAATGTTCGTCAGTTTACAAGCTAAACAGGGCTGCGGTCCGTTGCAAACTGCATCAACCTGCACACAAATTACAGTCCATTTCGGAACACCGCTTTGACACTGCAAATAAATCAATTTGTACGAACACTGCGATAATAGTTGCACGGCTGCGTTTAATTGCGCGGTGAACTGGAAACATTTTACACTAATTCATTTGCTCACTTCATTTGGAGGCATCCCCGTTCGATAGTTTTGGCATGCATCGGCTATGATCAAAAACAATTTTAGCCTGGATTGCATCATTTTACTTTAGCTATAACAAATGTCAAGTCTGTCAAACTCTATACACAAACGGCGGTTAAAGTTGTACTTACCGTTAAAGAAGGTGGTGAAAGTCAGCCTTACCACCGTATTCACAAACATTACTATGAGGTCTCACAAAGCGCGTGGACGCACAGGGTCACACACGAACTAATCACAGAGCTCTATTCAACGCTGTGCGTTCGATTTGCTGCTTCACTTAAGCAAGCATCGTTTGTGAATACGGGCGTTAGTGTAACAAAATAAATACTGTAGGTATACCTATACGATTTTATAATTACCAACTTTGAAAATAAGGTTTTTCCTTCACTAAAATAAATAAGTACCTACATAGTAAATATTTTCCAGCATAAAGCAAAGCAAAGCACTTTCTAGCTAAAATCCTACTTATACTTTTCTTAGAAGTGAAAATATTTTTTTCTTAGAATTCTTAATCACAACATTGTGCTCGAAAATCACTTCGTCTTTAAATAACAATCTTTCTGAATCGTAATTCTATACAAATTAAATAAGCACAAAGAATAACACAAATACGTTAAGTTTTATTTTTCTTATCTTTGTATTTATTAAAATGTACTTATGATAAAAACGTTTTTAGTTTCTAACCCTACACTGCATTCAGTCCCTTATGTGGGACAACCAATATAATTGATTCTTTTTCTGATTTGAGCCAAGTAGCGGCATCTATCATTACGTAAATAAAGTGACAACAACCAATAGCATCCATTTATTGCATTAGTTGAAATTAGATGGCAGCACTATCTCGCTTAATCAGTCATTTAATTGAAAATTTTGAACGTCAGCCACGCGCCGTGCGTATTCATTTTGAAAATTTAATAAAAAATAGTTGTTTATGGAATGCAACAGTGGATAAATTGTTTTCATGTCGAAATATCAGTGATCTAAACAAATGTAAGTATATTTTTTTTATTTGGCCGTGTTTCGATACTAAATTTTTACAATTACTGTGTGTTCCCGATGTGTCACTTCATGCAGTGATGATACAATTTTAGATGTGTATACTAATGGCATGATGTTGATTATTTTTGCATAGTTGCGAAGAAAACCTCATCCAGCGCTCAAATCCAAAATTATTTGACAATACTATTAGGCAATGAAGATGAACAAGACTCCTCAGGCCGAAAGTGACGATGACATTGCCTCAATTAGATCTACCCTCAACAAACTTTCTGAAACATTTAGTAATAAGTACGGATGACGAAGAGCAATTTTTTTCACTGAACAGGTATGAATTCGCTGCACCATTATCAGGGTCATATGCTGGTGATATGCAGCAGCATAATATACCAAATCCTAGTGGTTAGATCCTGCTGTTTCCTACATTCAGATTCGTGATGCAGTTGCCTTCACGAACACGTCAATCAACAGTTGTTTCTTCCGCGTCTGCTGCAAAAGACGCTTCTCCTACACCTGCTGTTTCCGTCGCCAGAATAAAGCAAAATATCAGCTGGAAAAAAAATTACCATCCAACAAATCTTGAGTTTTGAGGGCAAACCGATCTAGAACCAGAAGTTGAAATTCCTTTGCAATATTTCTTGTAATTATTTGCCATTGATAAGAAATACCATGTCAGTAAGTAAACCAGTTTGAAAAATTCAGCAATATCTACACTTCAATGACAATACAACTCAGCCACCAGCAGGCACTGCAGGATACGATCGTCTCCATAACTCAGACATCTAATAGAAATCCTAAAAAAAATATCAAGCTACACCCAAACGAGAAGCATTGTCAGTGGATGAGCAAATGTGCGCTACTAAGGCCTCTATCATGCTGCGCCAATATTTACTTAATAAGCCTCATAAATGGGAGTAATCCTTGATTGTCTTGTTATTCGGCTACACATGCCCTGTATTGATTACGCTTTAATTTAGGTAGGTCATTGCATGCAGTGCCACATATGGAACAAAATAAAAAAATCAATTTTCTCCTCAACCACTAGTTTTTTTTAATTTTAGCTGTGCTTCCCGTGTTCTAGACCACAAATATTACCTGAAAAGATTTTTTTTTCTAAAAACAAAAAAATCATGCAGTGTAGGGCTAAGGATGGGTTGCACCATTTTATAACTTTAACAAATTTTAATGTCAAAAATCTGTCAAACTTTATAAAAAAGCACCGGTTATCGTTAAAGTTACGGTCAAAGTAAGGTGGTGCAACTCGGCCTAAAAGGTTAAGAGGTAACAAAAGTGCCATCTGCATTCCACGATCTTTGCTTTCCAACAATAATCTTTACGATACTCTGACAACTGACAAGCCTTGATAAATGGTCAAATCTTTGTCGCTTTGTTTCACGAATAATTAATGACTAACTGTCAAATCGTTAACCCGCCGATTGCTGATACCAAAATTATTGACTGGAATCATATACATATAAAATACGTATACAGACTACTAGGGTTGGGTATATTATCCCCAAAGGACACATAATTGGCCGTTAAAATTTAACTGGCCAAGTTTAACGCAACACTTTATAGGCGCATTGGACTTCGAAGATGGTGAAAATGACTGCTATTATTATGTGTAAAATTCTTTACGAGTCCCCTAATACAACTTTACGATGCGGTTAGCATATTTTATGTGAGAGTAATTGGTTTATATGAGTATACTGTCGAGGCGTGAGCTTCTAAATACATTAACAAATGATTGACAGCCAAAATCAATTTTCCTATAGATGACCCACGCTGAACTGTCCCACCAAACTCAATGACAGGGGGGCCGCTAGCATCGTTCAAATATATGGTTTCCAACATGGCAAAAATCAGAACCAGCGATCCGGTATTGACGGTTGCGTCCCGCTGTCAATGTCATGGATAGGACAGTTCAATATTTTGGAACTATACTAGCTTTTATTTAGCTGCAACTTTCTTTTTGTCTTTTTATTCTATTGTGTGTATTATCTAATGTCACGAACCCATCAGATATTCTTATCACATCATATATATGATAATATTTTGTCTTAATTTTTTTAAATTAAGATCTAAAGGAGCTGAAGAAAATCGGCTAATTGGAAGCTTGTTTTTCAATACTGTTATTGTTAGAATATTTAAATTATCCGTATCGTGAAGTTGTACTATTGTTTGTGACTTTGTTTTTTCGTATTCCCCAACAAACATTTCTCTCACTGACTCTACGCCTTTTTGTGTAATTCTCTCAGTTCTTTCCCGAGCAAACTTGTTTGAAATTCTTAATTAATTGATCTCAATCCAACATCGAGTTGGATAGCTTTTACAGTTTAGTTCCATTGGGAACTTTTGCTCTAAATTTCAATTACAAGTTGATCGGGAACGAGCTGCGTTTCGAGCGCACGTCAAAATAACCGATTGTTTTAGTCTTAAGTTTTATTTCGATGGTTGCTAGCGCATGCTCCTTGCTTCAGACGTCCCACACGACCTTTTGCACTTAACGAAGAATTATCTCGTTTGATTTTAATTGATATTTGTTGAGAAAAGTCGCCGTTTTAGACGCAAAATAGATTCAAGTGTCGTCGTTATTTTTATGTGTAAGAGATAGTTCTTCGCTACGCATTTAGTTCAAAAAACTTCACAACAATGATGTTCCATCTTTGATGAAATTGCACACCCTTTTCAGCTTGTTCTTTGTAAAAGTATTTGAAGTGAACCTTTTGAATTAAATGCTTTAAATCTTATTTCAAACTTAGCCCCACTCCTACACTTTCCAGTTGACTGAATCACTGAGTTTTGTATATTTTTTATTGATGTCATTTTATGATGTAAGGGTATTAAACACTACGGATTATCGAATCAACATCACAACACGCACAATAAAATCGTTCAAGTTTAAACAGCGATACTTTTTAATGCTTTTTAGTTTAGTTTACACAATATCGAGATAGATTTCTCATTTTTGTACTTGTGGGTTAGTTTATTTAGTATAAATCATGGGTATTAAACACACAAACTGATTTTAATTTCGTACAAAACTCTTTTTCGATTTAGATGTTCAAATCGATCACAGCTTATCCGCACCCAAAGCTTATTGAGCTTAGCCAGAATCGGGGTAAACGGTACCTGCGAATATATTTTTAATTCATTTAAGATAAAGTTGTACTTATAGAGATATTTCACTAATCTTGCTAAGAACATTTAGATTATAATCCAGTAAAATCCTTCAATATTTGCAAAAAAATTACTTACATTTTATATTCTAATCCTATTTTATCTATTCATAAATATTTCAAGAGTAATTTAAGTAATCATTTCTCAAGAAAATCTCGTAGCTACCAGGCACTCATAAACCGTAGGAGGCAAACACAAAAGCAAGTGAGCGCACGCTACCAACCATCGGACAGTAAAAAGTCTACGCTAACCTCAGTCTTTCTGCCAATCGTTTCTGACCTGGCAGTTGCTCGACCACATCCTGTTCAACCCGGCCCTATGGATCCACACGCCGGCTGCAGTCCAGGCTAGACTGTACTGCTACCTGGCTACGGACTTCCTGGCTGACGCTCACATATACGGCAGCGTGAGGAGGGTCAGCACTGTACTCCAGACAGTCCACACGCTGAAGTTCTACTACTGGGTCGTGAACCCACGGTCGAAGAGTGGCATCTCTCCTAAGGGAATGGGTAAGTTCTGCAATTTTGTATCTTCTTTTATAACTTGTAAGAAATCTCAGAGTCAGACATTTTGGGTTAGGCATCTGAAATAATTTAGTCAGACTGTGAATGATTGCAAGACCGTGATAAGATAATTAACATTCAATCAATCAAAGGCCAGAATCCAAGGTGAACTTTAAATCTAATTTTGTACTTTGTTTCATAATATTAGTCATGAACTTTCTGAATAACATACAAGATCTTCAAAGTTTATCAACTTTTGTAATTAATTAACCAAAATATAGCTTTTAATTAGCATTGTCTACTTACCGTTTATCACATGCATATTAGATATTTAGAACTAATACATTGTAAAATCATCGGCGAAGTCTACAGCGATTGAAATATCATTATTCACATCGTCGCAAATAAGTGTGTAAACGTCATCAATAATACGTAGGTAGGTACACATTTATCCTCTGATTAAACAACTCAAACACTCAGCAAATCAAGTCAAGGCAAACGTTAGCGAGGATCCCGACTGTAATTATTGCGCGTAGATTTAATGGTTTAAACGGCGGCCATATTTACTCCGCTGATTTGTCTCTGTCAGAGGCAAAGTTTATGATACGCCGGCCATTATCTCGTTAACGACTGCTTCTTCCAGCCATTAAGGGGATCAGATACCGCACTCGGATTGCGGACAAAGACACTCGATTAAAACTCGCTTTACATTTAAATGCCGTTTACTGGAGTTTATTTATCAGCGATTAAATTGATCGGCCGTTGTTTGGTGGAAGCGTCCGTTTTTAATGACAAGTCGATCATTATTACAGTTGTATTCAAATGAAATGAAACAATGTAGGTACTTGTGTGATATTTTTGACAAAAAATAATAAATTGTTCCTAAGTAATGAATACGAATAGGACTTTTCGTACAAATCAAACAACGGGGCCGTCCTTACTCAATGAAATGACAGCCCAATCTGACGCCCGGACTGACTGTGTAACATCCCTGAGCCATATTGTGTAGTTTGTTCACTGTCTTACTTATAACTTTGTCTCTTTCTTGTATTTCCTTCGATGGAGTTACAAAAAAATACCGTTACACAAAATCCAAGCATTACAATACAATAAATAACCATTTACATGACATCTGTATCTATCTAATCTTCATAATTCTAATAGTTAAGTCAAATAACAAATGACATTTCACGGTCCGATGCACACGGGTACCAGGAGACGATGGGCTAAAAGAGTTTGCTCCTTCACAGATGGCCCACGCCCCGCCCACAAGGATATCCTTACCATCCGCGCGTACATCCTTCTCTTTCTAAAGCAACTCATTATGATCGGCAACGGCGTCAAGGAGGACGAGCTGCAGTCGATACTAAACTACCTGACCACTATGCACGAGGTATGCTTTCCTGGTACTTTTGGGCTTATAAGTTTGATTGGATTTGTGATTAAAATGGTTTTTTTTCTATCACAGGACGAAAACTTACACGATGTCTTGCAAATGCTGATTTCTCTTATGTCGGAACACCCCAGTTCGATGGTGCCAGCTTTTGACGCAAAAGTAAGTTTTACTTTAGAACTACCCTCAAATTGTATATTTTTATAGTTTGTTATTACATTTTAACGCTTTATGTGCGTTATTTCCAGGGTGGTGTGAGGACGATTTTCAAGCTCCTATCATCAGAAAGCCAACTTATAAGATTACAAGCTCTGAAACTACTTGGATTCTTTCTTAGCAGAAGTACACACAAGTAAGTACCTGCATTTACTGTCGTTGTAATGATTTTTAATGTTGTTCATGGAAGTTTTTTGTAGGTGAAACGATATTTTTTATGTGAATTTATAAAAATATCGTATTTAGAATATATTTTGGTTTGGTTTCGTTTGTAATGGTTTAAAAATGCTGACGCTTAACTTTAGTGGCAAAATTCCAACAAAAAATATTATACCCAAAATCTCGTCGATTCGATATCCACTTTAGACTGGCTTTTGTGTCTTTCTACTCGAATAACTTTATGTACTAAGTCTTTTCATTTGTCTGTGGACCGCTTTATCGCTCCAAGAGCTAGACTTTAAAACGCAGACTCCGTTGGTTTTTATTTGGAAAATGTACGTTTCGATGGGCATTTAAATGTGTCTGGGTCTACAGAACGGTTTTATCTTTAGTATTACTGTGCTTTTCTTAATTTTGAGAACGATAATAAACTTAAGTGTTGCTAAAACGTATGTTCCTTCAAACCACTTTTAAGGCATTACGTAGTTACTTATTCACTCATTCTTAAGCTAGGTTGCACCATCATAGTTACTTTAACATTAACAAAGGTCAAAAATTTATCAAACTCCATACAAAAACACCGGTTATCATTATAATTACGTTAAAGTTAGGTGGTGAAACTCAGCCTTTATCTTCCATTATTCAAAAGTGATGTTACTTGATCGAATCCAGACTCAAATAAGAACAAGTTTCATGACACGTTGTGTTAATAAAAATATAGTTTAACTTTAGCTAAAGTAGCAATTGTCAGTGAAATGAAGTGCTATTGAATGAAAGTAGTTCAAATCCTTTTTCAAGTGCCGAAGTCACAGTTCTCCATTAAAACAATCTGATTTAATTATCAGCGTTGGGATCGTTCCCAACTTTTTATAAGTACTTACTAAAATTCTCTAAGGGATTTGTCAAAACTGTAATTACGTTATTTTAGAGAGTCTGTAAGTGGTTCCAAAAGTTTCTCAATTAAAATAAGTGCCGCCATTTCATATTTATTTACCAATATTCCGACTACGAATAGACAAAGGAATAAATTGCCTCGAAAGTTGGCAAGCTTAAGTAAAGTTGAGAGTAGATAAATTTGTAACCGTTGTATTGGAAACTTAGCTCTTATTTCGCGGATATGAGGGCAATCTCAATTTAGAACTTAACTTTTGCTCAGGTTGAACTTTGGACGTCCGTTTCATCTTTTTAAGGGGTGTATTTTCGAAAATAAAATACGGCCAACTAGCAGCGATACAAAAGGTCGATACGACTGTCGAGTTGACAGTATATTCTGTCTCTTCCCATCTTGTGTATTTGTCGTAATGTCTCGTTCTCCCGCCAAAATATGTCAAAGTCAGACGGGATCACACATGAAATTGGGTTTGTTTACATTTGGTATCGCTTCTCGTTGGCCGTACTTTAATTTCTTAGCAGATACCTACGTCATGTGATTCTCCGCGAGCAAATTCAGCGAAAACCATTCACTGGTTTGAGTTGGTCAAGCGCTTAACTGAGGTATGGGAGCGGCAAGGGAGGGGTGACATTGACATTAATGACGTGACAGAACATACAATCTGAAGGAGATCTGAAGTCTCGCTGACTTTTGACCGTCACAAAAACACCCTCGCATGTTTCTTCTTCTTGTTGTGTCGACAAACAAACCTACTCAGCGTCAGTCCAAAACTCCGCCACAAGAATGGCGTTGTCAGCAGCCTTCATTAAATCTTCCTGCGTGCAGTTGTTTGGGCACGCAGGGCACGACATCATGTGCTTCGCCGACTGGGGAACTAAACCACACTTGCACTCCAAGTTTGAGCCTGAACCTGAACAGATTGTCCTTACTACGGCCGACCTGCATCCGAAGTCTATTTAAAGACTTCCAGGTAGGCCAGGGGAGCTCATGCTTATCACCCTCGCGTGCTGCTTCCATACCTCAGGTACTGACTCAGTTAACTATGTCTATACCCATAGATCAGTCATTAAGGTAGGCCTTTAACACTCGTATAATAATATGCAGATAAGATTTATTTTAGATCGTTTCATCCACGAAGACGCGCCCCACCATTCTTCCGCTAATGTCTGAGTGTTATCGGTACACGCTTAATTTTCCATGAGTGCACACGCACACTACAATAATGACGCTCGGATTGCTCGGATCAATCTCCCGCACCCCGCGCTTCCCTCGACCAAAATTGGTGGGGCGCGTCTTCGTAGATGAAACGATCTATAGTCTGGTCTGGTGTGCGACGGGCGCCTGCAGTGAGTGTGCGAGCGCGACAGCAACATAATTACGCGCGAGCGATAAGGATGGGTAGCTTGGGGTCATTGGACAAAATTCTACGTGCTCGCAGACCGGACTTTATACTTATAGCCACGCTAGCCAAATCAGTGAAGGGGTTGGAGTGGCCGACTCGAGATCCGAGGAACGCGGGTTCGAATCCCACCGCCGCTCGACTATTGTGGTGAGCCCACTCGTAACACAAGCTTATTTAGCTTACCACGAGGGGCTAATGGGACTATTAGTAATTTGTGCAATACAAATTGCTAATAATCTTAAAAAAAATATACTTTTCAGACGAAAATACGACGTGATGTCTCCTCACAACCTATACACGCTGCTGGCGACGCGGCTGGGAGCGTGCGGCGAGGGCCTGGCGCTGCCGGTGTACAATGCTTTATACGAATTGCTGACGGAGCACGTCGGGCAGCAGATCCTGTACACCAGCCACCCGGAACCGCAGCCACACTTCAGGCTGGAGAACCCCAGTAAGTTTCTCGAGAAGAATATGTTTCTACTGTTTGGTTTGTAAGAGAGCCTTTAGACAGCGTATAACATTCGTGATGCGGCGAGGGCCTGGCGCTGCCGGTGTACAATACTTTATACGAATTGCTGACGGAGCACGTTGGGCAACAGATCCTGTACACCAGCCACCAGAACCCTAGTGAGTGTCTAAAGGGAATATTTTTCTACTGTCATTTGGTTTGTAAGAGAGCCTTTAGACAGCGTGTAATATTCGTGATGCGGTGAGGGCCTGGCGCTGCCGGTGTACAATGCTTTATACGAGTTGCTGACGGAGCTCCTGACGGAGATCCTGTACACCAGCCACCCAGAGCCGCAGCCACACTTCAGGCTGGAGAACCCCAGTGAGTATCTTGAGAAGAATATGTTTCTACTGTTTGGTTTGTAAGAGAGCCTTTAGACAGCGTATGCGGCGATGGCCTGGCGTTGCCGGTGTACAATGCTTTATACGAGTTGCTGACGGAGCTCCTGACAGAGATCCTGTACACCAGCCACCCGGAGCCGCAGCCGCACTTCAGGCTGGAGAACCCCAGTAAGTAGCTTAGCGAATGTCTACTTGTTGTTTTCCGTTACTACCAAAAAGGCTGAAAACCCCAGTGTGTTTTAGGGAAACATTCCTCTACTTCTCCTATCGTGTTTAGTTTATTATTATTTAAATACATAGTTTTCATTCTTGAGCAACAAATAAGCTGCGAAGCCTTTGAACGAATAGCTCAATGTTGCTTCTGAAGTACAGAATTATGTTTATTTTCTCGGATCGAGAGAGTTTTACTGCTAGCTGGCCAGTTATTACTTCCTTAATGTCAGCTGCCTATTTCTCTAAAGAGAATAATTATAACCAAGTTTGACTATTCCTGATAAAATCATGATTTATTTATCTTTAGCTACATAATTTTAGAATAGTTCTTATACATTTCAGCTCAAAGATAACTCGATAGAGGAAAACATCTGTAGTTCTGTACCCGATAGACTTCGCCTAAAAGGGTTCACAGTCAATCAAATATTCACCACACAACTTTTCCTTCCAGTGATCCTCAAAGTGGTGGCAACATTGATCCGGCAGTCGAAGCAGACGGAGCAGTTGCTGGAGGTCAAAAAGCTGTTCCTGTCTGACATGACACTGCTGTGCAGCAACAACCGCGAGAACCGCCGCACAGTGCTGCAGATGTCCGTCTGGCAGGTAATGTTCGTTCCAAAAGACGTCCACTACTGGACAAAGTCCTCCCCAAGGATTTCCAGAACTACCGGTCCTACGCTGCCTGCATCCAAGTAATAATAATAATAAATACACTTTATTGCACACCACTTTATAGTACTTCCCGTGACCTCCTCAAAATAAATCGTTAGTCCACCTAGTTAGGTTCCTGCTCACACTATGCCTTTTGGTCTGGTAGGTAATACGGCTGAAAATCTGCTTCTCTTTCTTTTGTTCCTATTTCTTTCAAAGTGTTCCATTTATTCCACCGGCTGGCATGTCGGGAGAAAAATTTTCTGTCGATCTGACTCCAGAGTCGCTTCCAGAAGTGAACAGTAGATATCTACATCTTTTTTACGTGTCGAAATGTGATATTTGCTAAAATGCTTAATGGCTGATCAGGTGGACCGACGACATCATAAAGGTAGCAGGAAGGCGCTGGACCCAGGCCGCTACCAATCGATCAACATGGAAATCATTGGTGGAGGCCTATGTTCATTGTTCAGCAGTGGACGTCCTATGATATGATGATGAATGGCTGATTGTTCTCATTGGGGACGAGGACTTTCTTTTTATATGTAGAACTAGCTGAGCCCGCGACTTCGTACGCATGAAAACCCGTTTTCGCAACATTTTTCATTTTTGCTCTGCACCTATTACTCGTAGCGTGATGTTGTATAGCCTATAGCCTTCCTCAATAAATGGGCTATCTAACACTGAAAGAATTTTTCAAATCGGATCGTAGTTCCTGAGATTAGCGCGTTCAAGTAAACAAACAAACTCTTCAACTTTATAATATTAGTATAGATAATACAATTCCCTTTCTTATCCCCCAGGAATGGCTGATAGCGATGGCGTACATCCACCCCAAAAATGCTGAGGAGCAAAAGATATCCGACATGGTGTACTCTCTGTTCCGGATGCTGCTGCACCACGCCATCAAGCACGAGTATGGTGGTTGGAGGGTGTGGGTGGATACGCTGGCTATTGTGCACTCTAAGGTAACCTTTAGCAAAGCCACAATGAGTATCAGTCGGTATCAATCGCTATCAATATGTATCAATCGCTATCAATCGCCATCAATCAGTATCAATCGCCATCAAGCACGAGTACGGTGGCTGGCGGGTGTGGGTGGATACACTGGCCATAGTGCACTCTAAGGTAACCTTTAGCCAAGCCACAATGAGTATCAGTCGGTATCAATCGCTATCAATCGCTATCAATCGCCATCAATCAGTATCAATCGCCATCAAGCACGAATATGGTGGTTGGAGGGTGTGGGTGGATACGCTGGCTATTGTGCACTCTAAGGTATACTCTAGCTTAAATAACCATTGGCACTTGTCAATCACTATCAGTCGCCTTCCATCTGTATCAATCGCTATCAATCGCCATCAACCGGTATCAGTCGCCATGAAATAATATCAATCGCCATCAAGCACGAGTACGGCGGCTGGCGGGTGTGGGTGGATACCCTGGCCATAGTGCACTCTAAGGTATTCTACAACAAAGTATTAATCGCCATCAATCTGTATCAGTCGCCATCATTCTGTATCAGTCGCCATCAGTTCGTTGTAATTGCCATCAATTAGTATCCATCGCCATCAAGCACGAGTATGGCGGCTGGCGGGTGTGGGTGGATACGCTGGCCACTCTAAGGTATACTCTAGCTTAAATAACCATTGGCACTTGATAATCACTATCAATCGCCTTCAATCTGTATCAATCGCCATCAACCGGTATCAGTCGCCATGAAATAATATCAATCGCCATCAAGCACGAGTACGGCGGCTGGCGGGTGTGGGTGGATACACTGGCCATAGTGCACTCTAAGGTAACCTTTAGCCAAGCCACAATGAGTATCAGTCGGTATCAATCGCTATCAATATTTATCAATCGCTATCCATATGTATCAATCGCTATCCATATGTATCAATCGCCATCAATCAGTATCAATCGCCATCAAGCACGAGTACGGCGGCTGGCGGGTGTGGGTGGATACGCTGGCTATAGTGCACTCTAAGGTATACTCTAGCTTAAATAACCATTGGCACTTGATAATCACTATCAGTCGCCTTCTATCTGTATCAATCGCCATCAACCGGTATCAGTCGCCATGAAATAATATCAATCGCCATCAAGCACGAGTATGGCGGCTGGCGCGTGTGGGTGGATACGCTGGCTATTGTGCACTCTAAGGTATTATCTAGCTACTTAAATAACTAAATGGCACTTGTCAATCACTATCAGTCGCCTTCAATCTGTATCAATCGCTATCAACCGGTATCAGTCGCCATCAAATAATATTAATCGCCATCAAGCACGAGTATGGCGGCTGGAGGGTGTGGGTGGATACGCTGGCTATCGTGCGTTCTAAGGTATACTCTAGCTTAAATAACCATTGGCACTTGTCAATCTGTATCAATCGCTATCAATCGCCATCAACCGGTATCAGTCGCCATCATTCAACATCAATCGCCTTTAGTATTAATTGCCATCAAGCACGAGTATGGCGGCTGGCGCGTGTGGGTGGATACACTGGCTATAGTGCACTCTAAGGTATACTTTAAGATACCAATTGCCATCATTCAGTGTCACTTGTCGTCAATCGCTATCATTCAACATCTTGTCTGGCCAGTTTGTGTTGATATTTCGTCTCTAACCCCCCTTATTAATAGGAGTTACACCCTTGTTAAATTTTTGGCTTAAATTGTCATTTAGTGATCATCACTTATCATCAGGTGAGTAAGTGATGGAAATGTCATTTTAATCCAGAGTTCATTCTAGTTGTTTTTATTAATAAGGGGGTAAGAGTCAAAGCACATGCGTAGCGCAAAGATTTCGCTATATCGCGCGATGCGGCGCGGCTCCGGCCTAACACTATCGTCATCTTTAGCTCTCTGTAATGAGTCATCAGCTAACGTTGAAATGCCACCGAACTTGATTCTGGTCTTTTCTTTTCCGACCATCGGTTTTTAATTTTTCACACTGATCTACTTTTATTATTTCGTTAGATATCTAAACTTTCATTTTCAATCAATAACTATTATTATAGCCTGACCAGGAACATAAAAACCCTGGCATAGAGGCGCTTCAATTGCATTTGATAGTGCAACACTGGGTACAGTCGTACCTGTATTAAATTAATAGGCTAACTTTATGTATCAGGATTCAGGATTATAGGCTTGTTTAATATTTTCATAAATTAACAAAAACGTATTATATTAAAGGTAAACTGGTTTAAATAAATTAAATGAAACCATCAATCGAGCAAGTAGGATTTTATTATTATTCATAAATAATCAAATTCTGAATATTCAACTACAATGTCTGCTCATGAACGCTTCAAACTCTGTACTTCTTTCCCAATTCCATAAAATTCAATACTTACAAAGTGACAAAAAACTTTAAAATAGGTAGTTGAAACAAACCACAGCTAATTTTCATAGTTGACTGTACTATACGATAAACATGTCAGTCAATTTGACAACCTTTGTCGGAAACATTATTCAATGAAAATATTGTCCGAACCCTTAGTATTTCTCTTCGACAAATACTTTAACACATTGTGAACCACTTTTCTTTCACGACTATAAAAAGATTTAAGCAATTAATTCACAAAATCAATTGCGCACATTTAAAATAAAGTTTGTTTACACTTTGACAGCAATAGATTGACATGCAAGGTGACATGTCAATGAAGTTTTTTTTTTCCGTTACTGTTGCCATTAAAAGAAATTAGTACCATTAATTTTCCGCAACATGGCGAGGGTTTTTATGTTCCTGGTCAGGCTATACTACTCAAATTCATAATTTCAAATTCCAGGTCTCATACGAAGAGTTCAAGCTGCAGTTCGCTCAAATGTACGAGCACTACGAGCAGCGGCGCGCTGACAACATCACGGACCCGGCGGAGCGGCAACAGCGCCCGATCTCCACCATCTCGGGCTGGGACCGCCACGCCGACGCGCGCGTGCCCGACGCCGACAGCGTTGCCAGCTCGCCCGTCTCCATCCGCAAGCAGAACGTCCTCAACCACGCCGCCCAAACAGAAATCGGAAAAGGCCTGTCTCTCCGAGAAGTCGAGGCCTGCAGCTGCAAAACCGACGATCGGACTACACAGGTCGTGTACAGTGAAGTGTGTAAAGTGCATAGCCCTAAGCGTACCGAAGTGCCCCCCGATGGTTGTGATAGTGTTAAATGTACAGACAGTGAGGTGGAACACGCGATAGACGAGGAACCGGAACACAAATTGCTCAATGCGGATAGCGAATTAGTCGACTCTATTATAAACGAAAACAAATATTTGGAGAGCTCCGAATCTGGGATCGCGACGGTTGAAAACTCGGAGAAGACGGACAAGCCTTTGACGAGGCAGGGAAGCCTCGACTACATCCCGGTCAGAGACGTCGGCGACGGCGTCTCGAAGGACGACAACACGGATAAAAGCGAAGGGATATCTTCCAGTTTGTCGGCAAGTGAAACTGCGAGCCCTGAGAGGGTTGCCGAACTTAACATAGTGACAGAGAGAGAATCGGAGTTGTCGGATCCGTCCGAGTTGTATCTGACGCCGAGCGAAGCGACTAGCCCTAAGAAAACGCAAGATAAGACTGACATACACATTCCAGACGACGACAGTGATGACCCTAAGCACGTCGCGATAAACATCGTCAATGACGTGCTGACGATCGCTTTAGAAACTGTCAGATTAAAAACAGATGACGACACCGATTCAGGTGCGATATCGGGAGGCTTACATTCCGAAGGTAACACACCAAACGGTCGCGAGGATTTCGAGCATGAAATCGAAGAAATCATTGACGAGAAACGAATGGCGGAAGCTATCGCCAATGAGCTCGTAGATGATATTATTAGTAAGGTAGTTTCGAGTGAGGAGGATAAGGTAGAAGACGAAAATGTAAATAATACGTCGGACGATAACAGCCCTCAAAGGGTGATACCGTCTGACCATCCGCACGAGGGGAACGTTTTGCCTCTCGATGGGGAATTTTTAGTCAATTCTAGGAAAGAGGAAGAAGAAAAGACAACAGAAACCGAAATCGTTGATGAAGTGTCTGAAGAAAACGCGAAAAACGAAAGCCAAAGAGTAGAGATGCCCACAGAAGAGGAACCAAAGACGCCGGAAATTCCACCTATATCGACGATCAGCGAGAATATCTCGCTGGCTAATAAGAAGGAACAAGAGAGTGAGGAGGAAAGGAATCGAGAGGGAGAGAGAGAGAAGCGCCGCGTCAGTCTGCCGGGAGACGGCGAGATGAAGCAGGACAGCAATAGGAGCGAGGGCGTGGCCTCGCAAGGGACGAATACATCTACGTCACCGAAGAGGCCGCGAAGCGCTTCTACGAGCACTCAAGTAGACTCAAACCATTTCGGTAAGTTACTCTTTGATTTTATTCTGTTAAGTTTTACCAAGAGGGGAACCAGTTGTATAAAAGACATGTGTTTGTTAATTACGTTAGTAGATGTTTTATGTAGTATCACAGAATAATAATAAAAAGGTATTTTAAAAAATGTATGCTCAATGTCATTATCAATATGATGTAATTTAGCCTGTCTCAAGAGTCAAGCACCATTTTGTTGACAAACGTCAGTGATCGGCACTGCGCCGAAGCTATAGGGCTGACTTCGGTAAAATGATGTGACGTGAGGTGCCAAACTGCGGAAAATGGCGGAGGAAATACATGATTTAGCAGGATTTAGCATGAATTATCATGAATAATATTAACTACTTATTTACCTCTCAGTGTCTTGAGGCAACTTAAAAAAGTATATTCTGTGTTTTTATTATTATTTAGGCAGTTAAATACTGCACAGTATTTAGTACACCATTTTCTTTATTTTCTTCCATCATACACAAGAATACGCGTGCGTGAGTCAATGTTCGCTCGTATGTGAGGCCTTGTCGAATAGTATCCTGTAGGTGGGCCATCGTGCGTGTTTTGTTTTCGATGTAAACTCGCGGAGATGAACAGGCCTGGTAGTATGGACATTCTCTTGATAAGAATCGCAGCTACTCTTATATGGTAGAGCGAGTTTTCCCAGAAGATTCCTATTACCTCATGCTTTGGAAGGCTTAATTCGGGCTATAATTTCAGGAACTTAACAGCATCGTTTTTATGTAAAGATATGTTCGTAATTTTGTAAATACCTATGTAAATTTGTGACGAATGTTCGCAGAATCCAAGCGGCCGTCGAAATGCTCGCGAGCCATGTTCTCGCCGGGCCCGACGCGGCCGCCGTTCCGCATCCCTGAATTCCGCTGGTCGTACATACACCAGCGGCTGCTGTCTGATGTTCTGTTCTCGTTAGAGACTGATATACAGGTCAGTGGAATTTATAATGATGTACTCTAAAGCCTGGTCCGTGAGCACGTAGAATTTTGTCCAATGACCCCAAGCTACCCATCCTTATCGCTCGCGCGTAATTATATTGCTGTCGCGACTGTGCGACGCGCGCCTGCATTGAGTGTGCGAGCGCGACAGCAACATAATTACGCGCGAGCGATAAGGATGGGTAGCTTGGGGTCATTGGACAAAATTCTACGTGCTCCCGGACCAGACTATAGTAAGAGATAATGGGATTATTCCCACATCTCGTTAGCACCGCTGCAACTGCTAAACAAGTATGAAAATCCTGGTTAAGAGGGAGCTGTAGCAATGGGAACGAGAAAGGTGAATAGTCTAGGAACCTTTTTCTTTGTCTTTTGGAATAAGAGTTCATTTTGAATTCTTACTTTATGGATCTAGACGATTTTATCATTTATAAATTTAGTTTTTGATTGTTTAGTTTATCAACAACAATCTTGAAGTAAGTTATTCTTAAAGTCAATAATTCATTAGCAATATGACATGCTTGAAAAAGACGTTATTTATTTGGATGACTTCTTGGCCATTTCACCTAAAATTGATGAATAGAATAGAAAAGGTTTATTGACACAGAAAAAAAGACACAATACAAAAAAAAACAACAAAAATGTTGGCTATTAAAACAAGTGGTGAGAAAAAACTGTGCCAATAGGCACCCGCTCTGCATTTATCGTGACATGCTCAAAAGGGCAAGTCACGAAGCTGGTCTTCCTTGGACGCCCTGAGAAATAACTGTACGCTAAATAATAAGGGTGCTACTATTTTACAAAAGCGGATTTCCATTTCACCGATGTCCAAGCTAAATTGGCAGCTCATTTAGCTGCAATAGGTCTAATTTTGCAACAAGAATGTGTATTGCTGATGTGGTTTTGATTCTTTTTCTTTGACATTCCAGGTGTGGCGAAGCCACTCAACCAAATCCGTGATAGACTTCGTGAATAGCAGCGAGAACGCGATCTTTGTGGTGAACACCGTTCACCTGATCAGCCAGCTGGCCGACAACCTGATCATCGCGTGCGGTGGCCTGCTGCCGCTGCTGGCTTCGGCTACCTCGCCCAATGTGAGTTGCTGGCGTTTATGCTCGCCTGGTACTCTTAGCCATAGTAATCAGCAGCAATAATAGGATTTTCGTGGTGAACACGGTTCACCTGATCAGCCAGCTGGCCGACAACCTGATCATCGCGTGCGGTGGCCTGCTGCCGCTGCTGGCTTCGGCTACCTCGCCCAATGTGAGTTGCTGGCGTTTATGCTCCCCTGGTACTTCTGGCCGTACTAATCAACAGCGAAGACGCAATCTTTGTGGTGAACACCGTTCGCCTGATCAGCCAGCTGGCCGACAACCTGATCATCGCGTGCGGTGGCCTGCTGCCGCTGCTGGCTTCGGCTACGTCTCCTAATGTGAGTTGTTGGCATTTATGCTTGCCTGGTACTTGTAGTCGTAGTAATCAGCAGCAATAATAGGGTCTCCGTGGTGAATATTGTTCACCTGATCAGCCAGCTGGCCGACAACCTGATCATCGCGTGCGGTGGCCTGCTGCCGCTGCTGGCTTCGGCTACCTCGCCCAATGTGAGTTGCTGGCGTTTATGCTCGCCTGGTACTTCTCGCCGCACTAATCTGTGCTGAATATTAATTTTATTAACCGATAGTTCAACCAACCATAGTTCAACGAACCAATTAGTTCTTAAAAAAGGGAGATGTAAATAATACAAGTATGTGAACTATTATATGAAAACTGAATTTTACATAATTTTTATCCAAGTAGCTAATTCACGCTCTGCCTCGTACATTATTTTCAAACACTAATCAAGTCTCTTACATTTTAAAGTAACATTTCTGTCACATGCTGCGATCACTTCACGAAGCGGCATAATACCACGATGACAATAAGAAGATGACAGCGTATTGTCTAAAATCAATAAAATGTGTCGATAGGATATAATCATAGCACGCAACCAAGGCTTTCAGGCAGGTTTTTACCGCCAGAAATCTTTGTCATTTAAATAAATTTAATTTTGGACTTATTTTCTATCGCAGAATGAACTCGACGTCATCGAGCCGACGCAAGGCATGCCTGTAGAAGTGGCGGTGACGTTCCTTCAGCGTCTTGTCAGCATGGCTGACGTGCTGATATTCGCCAGTGCGCTGAACTTCGCTGAACTAGAAGCTGAGAAGAACATGTCTTCTGGAGGCATCTTGAGACAGTGCTTGAGATTGGTAAGCTGGAGGATTGGGGCTTGGAGATTTTGTGGCAAGCATTTTGTTTTAAAAATATTTTACTGAACAGATGGAAAAGAAATTAGGGTGTATTAGCATCTATCCAGCTTTTAAAGTTATTTCTTACCTGCGGTGTATTTGATTTAATAGAATGTGTAGAACTTGAGAGTAGTGATTGGAACGTTGCGCCAATATTACTGTTTTGGCTTCAGATTTTGTGAATGATACTCGTCATTGTATTTAATTTTCTATTTGTTTTACCTGAGATGCCACACTATCTCCAAACCGATGATTTTGATATTTTTATTTCTTTCTTGTTGTTTGGTCATAATTTCGTTTTAATTTTAGTACGCTCTAATTAAAGGTACTTACAAAAGAGATTTCATCGATTTCAAAATCTTCGACTATTGAATTGAATGCTTAGACAAGATCAATTTTACTGGTTATTTTCTATCTATCATAGCTGAGACATAGTTTACAGAGATAGTGAACTATAAAAATAGAGACTGTAGATACACTCTTCCGTGTTACTCTTCTATAGATACTTATAGTTACTTTCTATAAGAATGCCGAACTCCTTTTTTGTGTTAAAATCATTCAACCCCTTCGGTCTTATCGATTTGGGTACCAGGGGCCCACGAGTCGATAGAGAGTAAAATGTTTAAAAAAGTGACTGGCCTGTTTGAAAAGGGAATGCAAGGAGTTCGGTGTTCGACTTGGAGTAGTGTGTGTAGCTCTAGAATAGCTAGCGTGCGTGTGTCGTAGGTGTGCACGTGCGCGGTGCGCAATTGTCTCGAGTGCAAGGAGCGCCAGCGATACGCCGCCGCCAGAGCCGCGCGCCCTACGGACTCGCCTGACCCCAAGGTAAAACACACCGTATCACCTACCCGTAAAGCCGACTTTCGGTTGCTATTATTGGTTATTGTCTAAGATTTTTGTGACCAATGAAAGCAAGCGATGTCGTCCCTTTTTCTCTCACAGATCCTTAAGAAACACCGTCCCTTTTACTTCTTCAAATCACCGTCACATCCTTTCGAGTTTATGGTATCCTGGTACAGGGATTCACGCTAATTGTTTCATTTGACTTTTGGACACCTTTCTTGTTATTCACTGATTTTTTCTTGGAAGGACTTATTTAAATTTTCTTTGCCCGCCCACCACATTCAGAAGAATTTACACCGTCCTATCGCCTTGGCAGTCATGCGTTCCTGGTGCAACCTTTGTAATTTATACGCCTACGTGCCAGTGAAATATTTGTAATTTTATGTCTATTAGAATTTTGAAACTGTCACCGTTATCTGTCAATATATTTTGTAAATATTTATCTATGTATCTGTAATTTATATTTATGCATGATGTAAGAATGTACTCAACAAAATTAATTGTGTAGGCCTACTTTTCTATTATTACTATTTCAATAAAATTGTTACAAGACACAATATTTCTAGATGCACGTTTCTTTAAAAATATACATAGACACGTTTTGGAATTAAGTAGAACATAAATAAAACTATTTCTGAAATTAAACTAGACTCTCCCTTCCCTTTTGTCCCTTTTAAGGTTACTAAAAAAACAGATAGTACTCGTAGTAAGTCAGTCTTCAATCTTCTCCTGATTCGTGATGTCCCAGTACCTTGTTACGGTTTCCTAGCTAACTTTCGTTATTACACCGTTAAAATGTACAGTTAAAAAACATCCCAAAAATACCGTAACATCTTCCCTCTCATCTTATTCATAAAATGTGCTTTAAATAGATATAACTTTCTCTTTCTAATTCTTAACACTGCACAGTATATTCGTCCTTGTCACACCCTGTCCCAAATCTTAAAACGTTTTTTTCTCTGCACAAGATTCTACGGTCGCCAACATATCCTTTTATGAAACGTCAATTGATTTTGAATCATATTTAATAGACATAAATTTCAAAATCCATTGGGGAAAACCGTTTTTTTTATGGCTACTAGAGACTGTTCAGGTAAAAGGTTCCCATTCACGGCTTCCAAGCACTCCTCACACCTTATGATAGCCTGGTATTTTGTGGCACACTTACAAATCTAGAGCATTGTTTTTAATGGGATTAATTAATTAAGTAAATAATGAGTTTATTATGTGTGTTTCTTTTTGCGGTTTAGAGTGTGGTGGCAAGTCTTGCCGATGCTTCGAGTCCTGTCAAGGATCCCGAGAGGCTTCTTCAGGATATGGACGTGAACAGGCTTCGAGCTGTCATTTATAGAGATGTTGTAAGTACATAACAATATTTTTCATTACATAAATAGATATTTAGACACACCCAACGACTTGAAGAGACCCTTTTTTGCTACCTTGGAATTTTCGAAAAAGGGATCGAAGCAACTTCTTGTAAACTCATGATCTCCTAGTATGCGAACCTTCGTTAATTAACTTGTTGACACTTTTAAGCTTCTTTAAGTAGTTTCTTTGGATAGGACATAAATCATACTATTGACAAAAAATGAACCTTCCCTACGTTCCCAAAAATGTAAAAGATGAATAACTTCTCCCTTCCTCTGAGATCCTGGTAGTTCAAACGTAATCGATACTTTCCTTAGAATCTTTTTACCGTTAGGGGCCTTTTTTGTGCTCCTTTGAAACACAAGTAGTTCTGTCTCTTTCGTTTGTAACAAAGTCAGTTGACCACGTGATGTGACTTACAGAAAAGAAATCGGTTTGAATCATTGAGGGTTTCCTTTTGCGCTCACAAGTCGGCGCCACTGTCTTAACCACAAGGAAGTTACAGGAGTTTACTCGCCAGCCAGTGGCGGTGAAACCCTCCTTAGAAACATGATACGTTTATTTGAAACAGAATCCATATAAAGGTGTTAGTAACATGATAAATCTTCAGCCGAGTTAAATCACCATAACTTTAACCAGTGTTTTTATGAAGTTTGACAGATTTTTGACGTTTGTCAAAGTATAGATGACCCACGCTGAACTGTCCCGCCAAACTCAATGACAGGGGGGGCGCTACCATCGTTCAACTATATGGTTTCCAACATGGCAAAAATCGGAACTAGCGATCCGGTATTGACGGTGGCGCCCCACTGTCAATGTCATGCATAGGACAGTTCAGTATTTTGGAACTATAAGATGGTGCAATCAAAGGTTAATCTAGTGTTAGTAATTTTAGGCTTCAGTATAGTTAGTGCTGTACATCTCTCATTTATAATGCTCTAAATATTCACCCTCCCTTCACAGGAGGAGACGAAACAAGCGCAGTTCCTGTCTCTAGCGATCGTTTACTTCATCAGCGTGCTCATGGTGTCAAAGTACCGCGACATCCTCGAGCCGCCGGCGCACGCGCCGCCAGACTGCGCGCGTAGGCCGCACCACGCACACGACCATCACGGTATTGTACCTTATTCACTTGGTTTAAGGTCGAAAACTTATTGACACATGTGGCTATGGAGGGTTAAAAAGAACAAGATAAAGCCTGGTCCGTGAGCACGTAGAATTTTGTCCAATGACCCCAAGCTACCCATCCTTATCGTTGCCAACTTTTCTTTCAAAATATAAAGTATATCAGAGGTCGGAGAAGGAAAACAGACAGTATTAAAAAAAAAACAAACAGTATAGCTCTACAACGCGTACTTAAATGTGGTGTTGGGCATTTACTTTTAAAAATATCTATGGATACTAGTGATGCTAGGTGAAAACAGTATTTTGTATACTTTATTTTTGTTCAACAGTAAAAAGTATAATTTAGTGAAAAACAGTATAATACTGTTCAAAACAGTATAGTTGGTAACCCTACTGGCACCCGCAGTGGGTGTGCGAGCGCGACAGCAACATAATTACGTGCGAGCGATAAGGATGGGTAGCTTGGGATCATTGGACAAAATTCTACGTGCTAGTCGATGCCCGTTATCACTAAACAAACAGGGATCACTATCTTAGGTACTAATAAAAAATTACAAGCACGTTGAACACGTGATTAAAAGTCATTTCCATGCTAATCGTCACTTTGATGCATAAAACGTGTAATTTTATACAGCGTTGACGTATTTGCAATGCGCTCACCAGTTAGCGCCACTAGCGACTTTTATCCTGTTATTTACCAGTGGCGCCAACTAGTGAGTGGACTTATAAAACCATACATACCACCTCTGTAACATTATGGATGCAATAAAGAATTGAGTATTGAGTGCAAATAGGCCCTCATTAGGTTCTGTTAGTCCATAAGTCACAAAATGGTTACATGAAAGGTAACTTTAAATAAGACTACGATAACTAAATAGTAATATGTAGAACACCAACTTCAAGTATAATGAATACTCAAAAGATCATTAACACAAAAGATCGAAAAGCATGAATTTCATAGAACATTCTGCAACATACATGAAACTTCATGCCTATAATGACGCTTGAAGCTCGATTCAAACTCAAGTATGGATTAGAGGCCAGTGACTGGTATTTCAGTATTTTGACGGATCAGAAAAGGAAACTGAATGATTTACACATTATAAAATACAAAAATACAGAAGATGTCATAGCCCATGAATCAGAAAGGCAGATTTTAAACCACTCTTGAAATTGAATCGAGTTTCAAGTGTATGTTACGGGCCTACATACACACATCATCATTCGAGTGATTATTTTTTAAACTAGCTAACAAATAGATCGTGTGTTTGTAATAATGCTCGTGTGATTTAGTTTTTAACTGGACAAAAATAATGTTTTGTAGAACAACGAAGGAGAGGAGTCAATATGTGCATTTATTTTATTTATACTTCAATTATTTTATACCTAATTAATATTCCGAAATATTTTTAATTTATGTTTACTCTAAAATCTCTATTCCTAAAAATATTGTAGTAATATTTTTATTTATTTACATATTTACAATGTAGTGCAACTGCACAGTTTATATACCGCATCCACTTTTATTTTAATAGAATCTTACAATTTCCACTATTTAAACTATTTACTACTGAACTGATTTCCTTTCTATCACTAGCTATAAGATATTTTAGTATTTCATTTATCTGTAAATAATATTATTTATTTTGCTTCTTTAAATGCTTCATTGCACTTACATTATAACATTATTACTCCATCCAATATTGGTTTACGTGTATAAAATAACGATAAAATTTATCATAAAGATACGATCATTATCATCTGGTACAGTCGCAGTCAAGTGTTTTAATATTTTTTGAACCAAAAAATTTTTTTTGGATTTTTTAATTTGCAATTTTGAACACTTTTGGAATTAAATATTTTGGTCGGCCAGTTCAAATATTTGACGGCGGCGGTACACTGCAGGTTACTAATAGACTTGTATATCTGAAGTGTGTCGTTTCTCCTTTTTCACGCCGCTTGATATACGCGTCACGGTTTGGGACACTGGTAAAATCGTCAACATTCTACTACACTGCGGCACTGCGTTTGTACACTGGACAACTTTCGGTCGTTCGATGTTTTTATTATTTTGGTATTTACCAAAATAACTATCAAACGATTGAATATCTCACGCGTTGATCTGACTTTGGCACTCTATTCCTCTATAAATCTATCCTTTACCTCATCCCCTTTATTGTGAATTGTGACGTTTCGGTGTTTTTTGTGTGTTTTTTTTCTGTTTTTTAATATTGTATTTGTTCAAATACTTTTCTTTGTGACTGTATTGTTCGTATGTTAATGTTCCATTTTCTGTATTTCTTTTCATTACCTGATAAATTATTTGTACCATTTCCCATCTGTGATATTCCTTTTGTGTACATAAAAATCCTTGTCTCTATCTAAATATTCTCAAAATGCTACAATTTGCTTCGTTTCCTCCTTTACGTCACATCCGCTTGACATTTCGATTCTCGTCTTCCATTTCTCGCTACGGCATCATTCATATCCTCGCCGCTCATGCCGCCCTGGTACTCTCTGCGTGCGCTACCATCGCTTTCCCACGCCCTTTTTTACCGTTACCCATTCATTCCCTATTTTTTACCACTATGTTTGTGCCCCTACCTGTCCCTTTCACCCGTCTCGCTCCTTGTTCTCCGTCTCTCTCCAACGCAGCCGGGAGCCGGCCGCTGTTCCCCCAGTGGTCTCACCACGTGTACCCGCAGTTCCTGCCTGGTGGGCACCCCGCTCACCGCCATCCTCACACACACTGCAAACTCGACTGCAGCCAACATATAAACAACAACACGCTCTCGCACACACGCATTGCTAGTTACCACCGCGCTCACGCAGGTAACACCGACCGACCGCCGCCTCGTGCTGATCTCCTGGTAGTTGGGTAGCGCGAGCGCAAGTAATGTTCAGGCTAATCAACATGATAATTACTTAAAATTTTAATTAATATCACGTTGGTCGTGTAAAGGTGTGGCCAAGTATGTAACTAGATTTTGACTCACCATTTTCTGTTCCTTTTTCGGCGGTCGCCTTCAAATTTAACCTTTATGGCCGTCGGAATAAAGCCTATAAACACAATGACATAATCGTAATGCTTATAAGACAAAAAAATCTAGGTATGGTTATGAGAAAATATTACATAAACTTTATGTATCCGTCCATTTATTTGCTAGAAATAAAATAAGTATGATTTTCAATTTTTAAAGATGAACATTTAAATATTCGTAGCTATCTAACACTCAGGGAATCAGCATAATTCCGGCTTTATCCTGCTTACACACGTTTCAGTATCCACTGAATCAACACTACTAAAACCTGTGTAATAAGCAGTGGTCAAAGTATTCGCAACTTATTCATAAAATCATAGAAATTATCGCACACGGAATAAATCCACAGTTTTTATCAAGCTTCAGTATTTGCAACACGCTTTTATTGTATTCCTTGTGTGTTTAATCATAAAGATGCGAATACTTTATATTGTTGTATGTGGTCGATGTTGTTCAACCCTGTTTTGTCTTGAAATATAATTATTGTTATATTAAATTAAGGATAGAGTATATTTATAATAATAATAGTAAATAAAAAGATGAAACAGTGGTACCATTCCGCACCGCTAAGGCACCGCTTCGATTTTGTTTAGTTTTTCTATGAGTTGCGTCATCTCTAGCGTGTGATATCATTTGATCCATGCATGAAAAGTTTAATTGATTGAAATTGGATGATCGTGGTTTTGTAGATTAAGTTGATACCTTTTGAACATTTTAACTGTGCTTACTAATCAATAATAGTACCTACAGATTTGAAATAATCATATTAAATATAATAAAAAGCACATTGAAAATGTTCAAGATCAGCTAAATATAGTAAAACTAGACTTGCCCTAGAATAGTATTGAAATTGAAAACTTGAATCCTACCCGCTTTGTTAAGGCAAGCTTCGTCAATGTTGTAAAACCGCCTAAGTATTTTTTTTGCAAAAAAACTAACATGTTTTTATTTTCGCATTTTCCAATCAGAACATAATGGGGATGACGTGGAATACGCCATGATAGTCGTCGATGAGAACAATTCCACGATAAATGATTTGGACTCGCCCTCAATGAAGGTACGTGTTAATTTTTTTATATGTAATAGGTTTGCATTAGGGATGAAAAGGCATGTATACTGATGTTGTTTTTTTTACTAAAATATCCCCTATTTTTGTTTCATTCAGAAACATTTTTTATTGATTTAAATAAATGATGTAGGTTGAATTCTTATTAGATAGATTCTTAATAGATATTTAGTTTAAAATCTCTTACGTTCAAGTTATACGTAAATATGACAGTAATATGCCACATTCTAGGCAATTTGTCATTCTACGTGTACTTTCTTAGTTATTCATTAATTTATTTAATTACGAAACTTTACAAGTCGCATTATTTCCAAGGCATGTTTTTCTTGTTTTTCCAAATTTAGCTGAAGTAACTTCTTCTTAAAATTCAAATTAAACTAGATCATTCATAGCGTAGAGTCATGAACCATAATTTAGTCTTCAGATAGACCTCTAGCCGATTTAGTAGATTGAGAGCATGTCATCAAACCCCTGCCCCAAATACAAAATTGAATCATCCCATCAATTTTGTGTTCGGCAATTATTTTGCTATGATTTTTCCGTGTATTTTTTTATCGATGTGCGTCCCAAATGTCATGTGAACGCTTCTTACGATTGGTTCTGTTTGCTGTTGCAATAAAATTATGAAGGAGTCGAGTGGGAAGGAAGAGGCTGTTGCCAAAATTGAGACGACGACTGACGAACTGAAGCCGAGCGCTGAAAAGCCGAAAGAGATCGAGATAGCGGTGACGCCGGCTTCTGAAAAGGAGGAGCCCCTATACAAGTCGAGCCTGCGCCTCAAGCAGACGAAAGCCAAGGTTAGTGGGCGCGCGGGGCTTCGGTCTGTCTATCTATTAGCGCCTCCTTTCGACCTGTACGGTTTCTTTACAGTTTGACAGTGTTTCATTTTAGAAGTTGGACGTGAGATCTCTGTAAGCTCTGCTTCATATAATAGAATGAAGCTTACCATATCTAGATTCAATATCAAACATAGATTGATGGTTTTAATTTTTTAAATAATATTTAGACCAATCACATCGAGTTATTTTTATTAATACTATGACCTGTCTAACTTGACATGTAATATTATCAAGATTAGTTTGATTAACTTTGACTGAAACATAGAACCAATTGTGCTAAACTGGTAATTTTTATTTCCACTGTTAACTATGTATTTATTTAAATTATCTTAAAAATCTATTGATTTAAAGACAATTATGATAATTTTGTCTATTGTTGTGTAATAAATTGAGAGATCTCACCCCAACGAACCTAACCTGGTTTAGTAGTAACTATTTCCCGCAATATCTTGTTGTAAACGTTTGGATTTCCTTGTACTAAACATGAATGTTGTTCCTCTTGTAAGCCCACCGCGAGGTCGAAAACATTGTCTGGGATTACGGTGTCTGTGGTCAATTTGGTTTGTAAACAAGTAATTATTGACACTTGACTTTTTGTGATAACATTCTAACCGGTTTTTGGAAATAAATTAGGCACTTAACATTTTAGAACAAAAAAACATTTTTTGAGACTTACTGGCATTTACGTCTTGGCCGTCGTTTGTAAAATACCATAGCCTAACTTATTTCCAAAGACCAAGAAACACTGTCCACATGGAGTTAATACACAAGCTTGTCACGATTACAACAGTTTTAATGGTTGACATACAACATGCTACGGCTATGCTCACTGGTTGACCTTAGGTAAGTAAAAGTAAAGCACGGAGCACGACACATCACTAACGCTACACTATGTATACTAATATAATTAATACGACAGTTATTCTGTTTGCTAGGTTTTCATGCCCAAAAAGCAAAAAAAAATGTTGAATTAAAAATATCATATGAAATAATATGAATATTATATGAAAGAAGTAAGTTAAAAGTTTGTTTTGGATTTCACAAGTCGGACAAAGATATGTAAATTCATTTCAGTACTTTTGACAAATTTTTCTTCAGGGTGATACATGCCCCCTCACATGTATTTACCTGCATCTGTTTAACTTAAACATTAATGAAAATTTTTTTAGGAAATGTCGCGGGCATCAGCTAACACTGCAAATAGAACTGTATTATAAACTTGTAAAGAGCTAGAATACAATAACCTTTACTATGATTTCACAAAAATCAAACTCATACCATAAACTCCTAGTTAAGTAGGTACCTCCCAAAGGACAAAGGTAAGGATATCGTGGACGATAAAGATTTAATTAACTATGCATGCCGTGTGACTTCGCTTGCTTCTTCCACCCCACCTTTGTTTGCATGTACCTCTTAGATCCACTTCTATTTTCATCACTTTACTTTTACTATGAGGTAAGGCATAAATATAAAGACATTACACACGACCTACCCTTTGTCTCCCCGGATTAGATACATTTTAATGTCTTAACTTGTTTATAAAACTAGTGTACCTACCTATTTATGTTAGTTCAAAATTGGTAAATAGGTATTTTAAATATAATACTAGTAAATTATACGTCTTTTAATTGAAAAATAAAAAAAATAACTCAAAAAATTGCTAGGCAAAAAATTAAAAAAATGGTTTTGCACGTTTTACGTACCTACCCGCATCCAGTAAATTTTCTAAACATTCTTTTTCGCAGAACCTCATAATAACTATATTTCGTAAAGACTAAATCCGGTTTCACAATTAAACACAATCAAATAAACGCCAAACCTTTATTACACACAACCTGTGTTCCCACAGAGCGTGGACTCGATAGAAGACGCGGGTTCCTTCCACCTCAACTCGACGGAGACCACGAATAACGATCCTGAGACTTCCAGTGAGATTGCCATGGACGACAATAAACATCCGGTCAGTATTTATTTACTAGGATAAATTTTAGAAATTAATCTACACTAATATTATAAAGAGGAAAACTTTGCTTGTTTGGTTTTAATGAATATGCTCAAAAACTACTGGACCGTTTTTAAAAATTCTTTCACTATTCGAAAGCTACATTATCCACGAGTACCATAGGCTATAATTATATTTTGGAATAAAATAGGGTTCCGTAAAATATTTGGGTTTTTCGGAGTCCACTAATTAATTTTGTCTTGAGATGAGAGCGAGGATGGAGTAAAGTAATGTGAATTAATGTAGAACCAGTAGCACTTTTTGATCGAATCTAAAATAGAATCCGTTCACGGAGCGATGTAACAAATAAACACCGGGGCTATGGCCTTTCGACATTACAACTGTCACGTTTTGCACAGATTTTCACACCAAGTATACCATGTTGACGTTTTTAAATTAACTGTACTAAGTATAGTTTTTTTCGTTCGTTCCTTCGTTTGACCGAAGGACCCAGATATGGTCTTTGATCTTTGCAATCTTGCCTAGAAGATTAGATTTATTCACTTATGGCTGTAAGAACGTTACAGGCTGTTTGAATTCCGAATAACTCACGAGATAAACATATCTCGATCGGCTTCCTATTTCCGTAGCCTCGAAGGGTCTCCTAAAAAAATAGAAAGAAAGAAAGAATTGAAATCAAATTATATCTAACTTTGATCTCGTAACTTTCCAGGTCAGCAACGACGAATCGTGGACGGACGTGAACCTGAATGAAGAGGGCGAGAGAGGGCCGGCCACCATCACCGGCAGGACGCGAGACCACGAGGGAAATATACACGAAGGTATGCAGTTTTATATGTTTTCAACCGACTTCAAAAAAGGAGGAGGTTCTCAATTCGACCCGTATGTTTTTTTTTTCTATGTTTGTTACGCGATAACTCCGCCAATTATTAACCGATTTGAACAAATCTTTTTTCTGCGTATAGGTAATACCTCAAGGGTGGTCCCATTTAAATTTAATAATAGAAAAAACAATCCCCAAGGGTGGAAAATTGGGGATGAACTTTTTTATACGCAATATCTCCGCCGATTATAAATCAATTTGAACGATTATTTTTTTGTTGAATAGGTATTATCAAAAGGGTGGTTGGTGGTTTCATGCGAATTTGAAGAAAATATTTCACCCCCAAGGGTGGAAAATTGGGGATGAACTTTTTTATACGCAATATTTTCAATTTTTAGTTTTTTTTTGTGTTCACGCATTTGAAGTCGGTTTTATTTTTTTTTAAAGTTAATATCTTAGCCCATAAAGGGGCGTAAATAGTTTCAGTTATTTTACTTTTGGACAAGACAAGCTGCAAGTCAATCTGAAAACCCATTCCATCACATACCATTAAAGGTAACTTGAAACCGGCAGACAGTGGTGACTGAATTTGTTGCGGCGCTTCTTCTCAGCACTTGACAAATGTTTGTCTCGAAGCGCTGGTAGGGCAAAAAAAGAATGAGACATGTATAGGCTCCTTACGAGCATTTGACGATTTGTAAGTACTAATTTAATTAGTCTATACAAATAAAGATTTTTTTTGATTTTGAAAGAGTTTAAAGTTCACAGCAGACTTTTCAACTCGGAAAGGGATCAACACCGTATCGTCTTTCGCGAGCTGTCATCGCCTTTCGCGCGTTGGCAACCGCGAGGCGAGGCGTTTACGTTACGGTACGAATAAGTGTGCGTTCCAGTATGGAGTTTCGTACAAATAATACAGACCACCTCGAGTTGATACGGTTACGATCCCTTAGTTTTGATACGACGACAAGCTTTAGAGAGACACGTCATCGGCGTCTCTTGTTTTTACAAAATAATTTAATAAATTCTTCTTACAAATTCAGTCTTACAAACTAGATACTACAAAATTATCAATTTCAGATATAGACAAACAAATCCACATGAGGAACTCTGAGTCGCACCACCACCTGCAACAGAGGCATCAGAATAGGAACCTACAAGCTGCACAGAGGCATCTACACCCTGTAAGTTATTTGTTCTTTTATCCCTTTATTAAAAAATAAGGGCAGATATGTACCATCCTAGACTGCATCTTACTTAACACCAGTTACGATTGCGGTCAAATACCTAGGGCTGAGTGTGAGTTTTCATCAAACGCGCCCTACTAGTAAGCGTGTCAAAAAATGACATTTAATGTATGACAGATTGTACAGCGCCATTTAGCGGGAAACGTTCAAAAGCTAAAATTTTCATACATTTTTTACAGCCCACCTGCCTTGTTTTGCATAAAAAAAAACGTCTGTGTAAGGACGATAATGTGGACTGGTGCTGGGAAAAAGCAGCGGAAAATACTTGACATTGTCATCAGTCTATAGCAGTCAATTACTGGACTGGACTGGACCTAGACCTCCCCCAATAAAATCTATTTTACATTGATTTGACTTGTCGCAAACAGTTCTGCCAGCGACTTTTCATAAGTCGTCATTTCATCTAACTAGAGGGCGTATTACGCTTCCCAAATCCTGATTCGTACTCAAGAAGTCCCTAAGTTTGTCGCGGCACTTCTCAGTAATTGCCAAATGTTTGTCTCGAAGCACTGGTAGGGAAAAAAAACATGTTTTTTTTCTTAAGAGCAAAATTTTGATGATTTGCAAGTACTGGTTTAATTAGTCCATAAAAAATATTTTGATTTTGAAAATTTATCTTCAAAACTTCCAGGACAACGAGACTCTAGCCGGTTTAAGCGCGATGAACGCTTCCATGACCGCCGACGGCGCATCCCGCGAGGCGTCTCTCACGCACAAGTTGGAAACAGCGCTGGGCCCCGTGTGTCCTCTGCTGAGAGAGATCATGCTGGACTTCGCCCCCTTCCTGTCCAAGACCTTAGTTGGAAGCCATGGACAGGAACTGTTGATGGAGGGTAAAGGTATACGGTTTTAAGCATGGTAGATGCTTCTGCTTAGACTATTTTATGGTAGTGGCAACACTGCAAAGTTCACTGAAGACATCTTACTGGGAGATGGTCTCTAAGGCACTAAGAGTAGATATAATCTACGGGTATCCTGATGGGAGGTAAACATAAGATGGTTTTAAATATAGTAGACGCTTTGGGCGCTTGGTGCTGGATTCGTTTATTGTAAAGCCTGGTCCGTGAGCACGTAGAATTTTGTCCAATGACCCCAAGCTACCCATCCTTATCGCTCGCGCGTAATTATGTTGCTATCGCGCTCGCACACTCACTGCGGGCGCGCGTCGCACAGTTGCGACAGCAATATAATTCCGCGCGAGCGATAAGGATGGGTAGCTTGGGGTCATTGGACGGGATTCTACGTGCTCACGGACCAGGCTTTAGACTATTTTATTGTAGTGGCAACACTGCAAAGTTCACTGAAGACATCTTGCTGGGAGATGGTCTATATGGCACTAAGAGTAGATAAAATCTACGGGTATCCTGATGGGTGGTAAAGATACACGGTTTTAGATATGGTAGATGCTTTGGGCTCTTGGTGCTGGATTCGTTTATGGCGACACTGTAATCTAGAGACTGTTGCGCAGAATTCTTTTATTATTGCTATAATAATATTCTGAGCATAATATCAATTTTGTTTGTATGTAAATACTTTTATAGTTATAGGTAAGTACGCTTTTAGGGATTGTAGAGGGCTTTTGGTGTATAGGGCGGAATTCAAATCATCTCTCTAATAATAGAGACGCTCTTTGACTCCTTGTGATCTCTGTTGAGAGAGATTATTCAAGGTATTTACGAGCCACTGCTAGTAGAGTTATAGTTACATGCTTGGTAGATGTTTTGACTTGGTGTAAAGCCTGGTCCGTCCTCCAATGACTGTCGCGCTCGCACACTCACTGCGGGCGCGCGTCGCACAGTCGCGACAGCAATATAATTACACGCGAGCGATAAGGATGGGTAGCTTGGGGTCATTGGACAAAATTCTACGTGCTCACGGACCAGGCTTTAGTAGTTTTTAGGGTGAAAAATAGGCTTCTAACAAACCCTAACAACTCTTCTTACAACAGCTACTAACTAACCAAACTTGTTCTACCAAAACTTCAAGTACCAATCTCGCTCCCCAGGCCTGCAGACCTTCAAGTCCAGTACCTCCGTGGTAGAACTGGTGATGCTGCTGTGCTCCCAGGAGTGGCAGAACTCTCTCCAGAAGCACGCGGGGCTGGCCTTCATCGAGCTCATCAACGAGGGGCGGCTGCTGTCGCACGCTATGCGCGACCACATCGTCAGGGTGGCCAATGAGGCCGAGTTTATATTGAACAGGATGAGAGCTGATGATGTGTTGAAACATGCCGATTTTGAGGTTAGTTTTCTGATGGTAGAATGTTTATTGGAATAGACTATTTTTGGCTAAGTTACTATTTGTGAGGAAATAAGGAATACAGGGTGTTTGGCGGAGGGTTACTCACTTAGGGTCAAATGGGCGAACTTGTATTCATAAAATGACCTTACCTATACACCCACGAAGTTTGTCTAACCTTCCGCCAAACACCATGTATAACAAAACTGATGCAGAGGGCGCTACATGTCGTTAAAAACTACCATTATCTATCAAGCCGTGTTTATTCGTGTCAAGTAATCTGTGGAAAAGTTTTAAATCAAAGTAATAAATGCATCACAAATGTTGTATTGCATTTAAAATCTCTATATTTTTACATTTCGACAGATTTTTTCATAAATATTGTCAGTATCTATTGTGCTTTTTGTTCACGTGGTATGACAAGACCACTATAAAATTTAGGCCAAGTTAGGACACTACCTATTTTATGAACAGCAACAGTCTAGTATCATCATCTTCATTATTTGAGCACAATAAACAGTGAACTAATTTTACAGTTTACAGTTTGTTTGGTAAAAGTTTTTGTATACAACGCCATCTCTTGAGCACAAACAGTGAACTTATTTTACACCTTGTTTGGTTTAACTTTTTCCATATAGCGCCATCTCTTGAGCACAAACAGTGAACTTATTTTACACCTTGTTTGGTTGAACTTTTTCCATGTAGCGCCATCTCTTGAGCACATTCAGTACCAATTTTCTTTCACCTGCAGTGCTTATGCGCAACCACGAGTGCCGAGCGAGCGGAGGAGGAGCGAACGTGTGAACGACTAATCGCTGCTGCGCGACGTCGAGATACTGCCGCCGCTGCAAGACTGTTGGACAAGCTGCGACATGCCGCCACACACCCTGGGTAAATATATTTCTTCAGAGTTAATAGATGACCACTATTGGTCAAGTCACGGAACGTCGTGGGTCGTCGAAAGGTATTATTTATTGCTAGATAATGATATGTGAACGTGTGAACGACTAATCGCCGCCGCGACACCGCCACCGCTGCCAGACTGTTGGACAAGCTGCGACATGCGGCCACACACCCTGGGTAAGAAGACTTTCTTTCAATCGAAAGATTTCTTTTGCTGGACAAAGACGAGTGCTTTATCGCCGCCGCTGCAAGACTGTTGGACAAGCTGCGACATGCGGCCACACACCCTGGGTAAGAAGACTTTCTTTCAATCGAAAGATTTCTTTTGCTGGACAAAGACGAGTGCTTTATCGCCGCCGCTGCAAGACTGTTGGACAAGCTGCGACATGCGGCCACACACCCTGGGTAAGAAGACTTTCTTTCAATCGAAAGATTTCTTTTGCTGGACAAAGACGAGTGCTTTATCGCCGCCGCTGCAAGACTGTTGGACAAGCTGCGACATGCGGCCACACACCCTGGGTAAGAAGACTTTCTTTCAATCGAAAGATTTCTTTTGCTGGACAAAGACGAGTGCTTTATCGCCGCCGCTGCAAGACTGTTGGACAAGCTGCGACATGCGGCCACACACCCTGGGTAAGAAGACTTTCTTTCAATCGAAAGATTTCTTTTGCTGGACAAAGACGAGTGCTTTATCGCCGCCGCTGCAAGACTGTTGGACAAGCTGCGACATGCGGCCACACACCCTGGGTAAGAAGACTTTCTTTCAATCGAAAGATTTCTTTTGCTGGACAAAGACGAGTGCTTTATCGCCGCCGCTGCAAGACTGTTGGACAAGCTGCGACATGCGGCCACACACCCTGGGTAAGAAGACTTTCTTTCAATCGAAAGATTTCTTTTGCTGGACAAAGACGAGTGCTTTATCGCCGCCGCTGCAAGACTGTTGGACAAGCTGCGACATGCGGCCACACACCCTGGGTAAGAAGACTTTCTTTCAATCGAAAGATTTCTTTTGCTGGACAAAGACGAGTGCTTTATCGCCGCCGCTGCAAGACTGTTGGACAAGCTGCGACATGCGGCCACACACCCTGGGTATGTGGACGTCATCATCCTAGCCGGATATTTCCACTTTTGGACAAAGACGAGCGCCTCATAGCTAGTTGTTGCGCGTCGGTGTGACACCACCGCCGCCGCTAGACTATTGGACAAGCTGCGACATGTATTAAAGTTATTTATTACCTGCAAACAGACCTTTACTAAATTATTTTACACATCTTAGTATCATTTTTACCTCTACTTCTATGGCTTCACTGGCTGGATTTTATAAAAGCCAGAACCTAGAGGAGCTGTAGTGGTGGAAAAGAAAGGTATTAGTCTCTCTACATCTTGGGTCAGTGGACGTTATAATTCCAGCCATACGTCCATTCAATGTAATTTATAATTCACCCATTTAATTCGTGTACCTATAAGTTTGCACGCTTAAATTGTTATAGAGCCAAATAAAGAGAGACCAGTGCACTATCCCTGCCTCTTGTTCTCAGTTGCCAAGATCTACAGATTAACCGCCAATAATGTTGAAATGTATGAGCTGTATTGTGTATGTGACTTTGTTGGTGTACCTAATAAATAAATAAATAATAAAAATCCAACCAGTGAAGGTCCTGTTGGTGTTTGGTCTTGGGGGAAAGATACGTTACTTTGGGTCCTGCAAAGAAGTGAATCCCAATTATTAATATTATAAATGCGAAAGTAACTCTGTCTGTCTGTCTGTCTGTTACGCTTTCCCGCTTAAACCTCGCAACCGATTTTGATGAAATTTGGCATAGAGATAGTTTGGTCCCGGGAAAGAACATAGGATAGTTTTTATCCCGGTTTTTGAAACAGGGACGCGCGCGATAAAGTTTTTCTGTGACAGACAAAATTCCACGCGGGCGAAGCCGCGGGCGGAAAGCTAGTCAGTAGATAAAGTCATAGAGGGACAGATGTATTGATTGTGTTCTATTCTTTCAGCAACACGAGCCAGTTCTGGAAGCTGGACTCGTGGGAGGACGACGCGCGCCGCCGCCGCCGCCTCGTGCCCGACGCGCGCGCGCGCCGCCACGCCGCCGCGCCCGCCGCGCCGCCGCCGCCGCCGCACCACGACGCCATACTACAGGTATATTCCTAATCTAAAGCAGGGTACTCATCTAGACGTTTACCATGTAATGTATCAGATACTGTATCAAGTGAGTACATAGGCACGAGCCCGCTGCGAGCTGCTCGCGCGTGGTTCGCAGGGAGATCGCAGCGACCCGCCGACTGGCGNTCATTTTTACCTCTACTTCTATGGCTTCACTGGCTGGATTTTATAAAAGCCAGAACCTAGAGGAGCTGTAGTGGTGGAAAAGAAAGGTATTAGTCTCTCTACATCTTGGGTCAGTGGACGTTATAATTCCAGCCATACGTCCATTCAATGTAATTTATAATTCACCCATTTAATTCGTGTACCTATAAGTTTGCACGCTTAAATTGTTATAGAGCCAAATAAAGAGAGACCAGTGCACTATCCCTGCCTCTTGTTCTCAGTTGCCAAGATCTACAGATTAACCGCCAATAATGTTGAAATGTATGAGCTGTATTGTGTATGTGACTTTGTTGGTGTACCTAATAAATAAATAAATAATAAAAATCCAACCAGTGAAGGTCCTGTTGGTGTTTGGTCTTGGGGGAAAGATACGTTACTTTGGGTCCTGCAAAGAAGTGAATCCCAATTATTAATATTATAAATGCGAAAGTAACTCTGTCTGTCTGTCTGTCTGTTACGCTTTCCCGCTTAAACCTCGCAACCGATTTTGATGAAATTTGGCATAGAGATAGTTTGGTCCCGGGAAAGAACATAGGATAGTTTTTATCCCGGTTTTTGAAACAGGGACGCGCGCGATAAAGTTTTTCTGTGACAGACAAAATTCCACGCGGGCGAAGCCGCGGGCGGAAAGCTAGTCAGTAGATAAAGTCATAGAGGGACAGATGTATTGATTGTGTTCTATTCTTTCAGCAACACGAGCCAGTTCTGGAAGCTGGACTCGTGGGAGGACGACGCGCGCCGCCGCCGCCGCCTCGTGCCCGACGCGCGCGCGCGCCGCCACGCCGCCGCGCCCGCCGCGCCGCCGCCGCCGCCGCACCACGACGCCATACTACAGGTATATTCCTAATCTAAAGCAGGGTACTCATCTAGACGTTTACCATGTAATGTATCAGATACTGTATCAAGTGAGTACATAGGCACGAGCCCGCTGCGAGCTGCTCGCGCGTGGTTCGCAGGGAGATCGCAGCGACCCGCCGACTGGCGGTATCACTGCGAGCACAAAGGCGGCTCGCAGTAGGATCCAAGAGCAATCACATGTACAATATTATGTTCTTGTCAACCCTTACCCATGTCACATGCAATAAATAATTTGAATTTGAATTTGAATTTGGAGCTCGCAGCCAGATACGCGATGACCGTGGACGAGCCGTACTCACTTGAAGGTTGGCCACGTTACATGCTACGTTACGTGCTACATAGCAGGTATAATAATAAAATAAAAACAGGAATACCCTGCCTAAGACTACATTTGGTCTAAAGCCCGGTTTCCACCAAGACGAAGTGTAGCGGAGACGAGAGGAGATCTGTAAGCTGTGCGCAGCTGTCAGCGTCAGTCTATTGCTGTCTATGAAACTCCGCACAGCCCCCCTAGACAAAACGCACTTTTTGATCGAATCGAAAATCGAATCCGTCAAAACTCTATACAAAAAAGGGGCTTTTCGACCACTTTTCGACTGGTTTGCGATTATAATTTGCACTTTGTCTAGACCCACAGCTCTGCTTCGAGCCCCGCCGCCGCTGTCAAATTCTATAGAAAAATGAGTCCACCCGACCCGACACATGTCCTTCGATCTGATTATCACTTTGTCGATCATCTCCTTCGGTCTGATTATCATTTTGTCGGGTGAGGCGATAACCAAGAGGTTCCTCGTTGTGTAATATTCGTTTCAGATTCAATTTTGAAATCGCTTTACACATGGAGCAAAGTGACAATGTATAAATAAAAAACCCGAGCTGCTTTGCTCCGCATTTTTTCTGACAATTTGACTATTTTATATTCTTTAAAGATTAACATATAGATGTCCCACGCTGAACTGTCCCACCAAACTCAATGACAGAGGGGCGCTACCATCGTTCAACTATATGGTTTCCAACATGGTAAAAATCGGAACTAGCGATCCGGTATTGACGGTGGCGCCCCACTGTCAATGTCATGCATAGGACAGTTCAGTATTTTGGAACTATATTGTTATATTTTTTTACTCGTTTGTTTATTAGTTAGATGGCACTGATGACTGACCTGTTTGTATTTTTTCGCCAGGCCACAGAAGAGTTACACGCTCGAATCTGCGCGGGCGGTGGAGGAGCGCGCGGTGCACAGCTGGCCACGCCGGCCGCCGCAGAACTCATTGACGACGCCGAACTACTGTTAGACGACAGAGACATTGACGCGGACCTTACTGGTAAGAAATAATTCATTCATAATAATTCATAATACTTCATTGCTTCATTTGATGAGAAGGTCTTAAGCTAATACATACGTATACATCCTCAAATGAACCCTGACAGGGTATTACATTATTCACGACATTACTCAAGCTTATTTAGTCAACTGACAATGCCAGCTGCCGTAGAGCTCATTCAACGATGCTGAAGTACTGTTAGATGGCAGAGACATTGATGCGGACCTTACTGGTAAGCAATACAACTTACATTCACAACATTACTCAAGCTTATTTTGTTAACTGACCATGCCGGCTGTAGTAGAACTCATTGACGACGCCGAACTACTGTTAGACGACAGAGACATTGACGCGGACCTTACTGGTAAGCAATACAACTCTTATTCACGACATCTTCTTCTTTTTTTCGTGTCGACAACAAACCTACACAGTGTCAGCCCAAAACTCCGCCACAAGAGTGGCGTTGTCAGTAGCACTCATTAAATCCTCCTGAGTGCAGTTGCTTGGGCACGCAGGGCACGAAATCAAGTGCTTCATCGACTGGGGAACAAAACTGCACCTGCACTCCAATGTTTAAGCCATCCAAGAATCCCCACCTGACCAGATTGTCCTTACTACGGCCAACCTGCTATACTCAAGCTTATTCGCAGAGACATTGACGCGGACCTTACTGGTAAGAAATAAAACTCTTATTCACGACATTACTCAAGCTTATTCAGTTAGCTGGCCATGCCGGCTATCGTAGAAGTGATTGACGACGCCGAACTACTGTTAGACGACAGAGACATTAATGCGGACCTAACTGGTAAGCAATACAACTCTTATTCACGACATCTTCTTCTTTTTTTCGTGTCGACAACAAACCTACACCAGCCCAAAACTCCGTCACAAGAGTGGCGTTGTCAGCAGCACTCATGAAATCCTCCTGAGTGCAGTTGCTTGGGCACTCAGGGCACGAAATCAGGTGCTTCATCGACTGGGGAACAAAACCGCACCTGCACTCCATGTTTAAGCCATCCAAGAATCCCCACCTGACCAGATTGTCCTTACTACGGCCAACCTGCATTACTCAAGCTTATTCAGTTAGCTGGCCATGCCGGCTGTAGTAAAACTCACTGACGACGCCGATACTGTTAGACGACAGAGACATTGATGCGGACCTCACTGGTAAGCAATACAACTCTTATTCACGACATCTTCTTCTTTTTTCGTGTCGACAACAAACCTACATCAGCCCGAAACTCCGCCACAAGAGTGGCGTTGTCAGCAGCACTAATCAAATCCTCCTGAGTGCAGTTGTTTTGGCACTCAGGGCACGACATCAGGGGCTTCATCGACTGGGGAACAAAACCGCACCTGCACTCCATGTTTAAGCCATCCAAGAATCCCCACCTGACCAGATTGTCCTTACTACGGCCAACCTGCATTACTCAAGCTTATTCAGTTAACTGATCATGCCGGCTGTAGTAAAACTCATTGAAGACGCCGAACTGCTGTTAGACGACAGAGTCATTGTTGCCGACCTTACCGGTAAGCAATACAACTTACATTCACGATATTACTCAATCTTATTTAGTTAACTGACCATGCCAGCTGCCGCAGAGCTCGTTCAACGATGCTGAAGTACTGTTAGATGACAGAGACATTGATGCAGACCTAACTGGTAAGCAATACAACTCTTATTCACGACATCTTCTTCTTTTTTTCGTGTCGACAACAAACCTACACCAGCCCAAAACTCCGTCACAAGAGTGGCGTTGTCAGCAGCACTCATGAAATCCTCCTGAGTGCAGTTGCTTGGGCACTCAGGGCATGACATCAGGTGCTTCATCGACTGGGGAACAAAACCGCACCTGCACTCCATGTTTAAGCCATCCAAGAATCCCCACCTGACCAGATTGTCCTTACTACGGCCAACCTGCATTACTCAAGCTTATTCAGTTAACTGATCATGCCGGCTGTAGTAAAACTCACTGACGACGCCGAACTACTGTTAGACGACAGAGACATTGACGCGGACCTTACTGGTAAGAAATAAAACTCTTATTCACGACATCTCTTTCTTTTTTTCGTGTCGACAATAAACCTACATCAGCCCAAAACTCCGCCACAAGAGTGGCGTTGTCAGCAGCACTCATCAAATGCAGTTGCTTGGGCACTCAGGGCACGACATCAGATGTTTCATCGACTGGGGAACAAAACCGCACCTGCACTCCATGTTTAAGCCATCCAAGAATCCCCACCTGACCAGATTGTCCTTACTACGGCCGACCTGCTTTACTCAAGCTTATTCAGTTAACTGATCATGCCGGCTGTAGTAAAACTCATTGAAGACGCCGAACTGCTGTTAGACGACAGAGACATTGATGTGGACCTTACTGGTAAGAAATACAACTTTTACTTACGAAACTACTCAATGTTCTTCAGTTAGCTAACCATGCCGGCTGTAGTAAAACTCACTGACGACGCCGAACTACTGTTAGACGACAGAGACATTGACGCGGACCTTACTGGTAAGCAATACAACTTACATTCACGACATCTTCTTCTTTTTTCGTGTCGACAACAAACCTACACCAGCCCGAAACTCCGCCACAAGAGTGGCGTTGTCAGCAGCACTCATCAAATCCTCCTGAGTGCAGTTGTTTTGGCACTCAGGGCACGACATCAGGTGCTTCATCGACTGGGGAACAAAACCGCACCTGCACTCCATGTTTAAGCCATCCAAGAATCCCCACCTGACCAGATTGTCCTTACTACGGCCAACCTGCATTACTCAAGCTTATTCAGTTAGTTGGCCACGCCGGCCGCCGCAGAACTCATTGACGACGCCAAACTACTGTTAGACGACAGAGACATTGACGCGGACCTTACTGGTAAGCAATACAACTTACATTCACATTAATATCGTCTTCTTATTTAATTAACTGACCATGCCAGCTGCCGCAGAGCTCATTCAACGATGCTGAAGTACTGTTAGATGATAGAGATATTGATGCGGACCTTACCGGTAAGAAATACAACTCTTTTTCATGACATTACTCAAGCTTATTTTGTTAACTGACCATGCCGGCTGTATTAGAACTCATTCAATGTTGCTGAAGTACTGTTAGATGACAGATACATTGATGCGGACCTTACATGTGAGAGAGAGACACGACACGACACGACACCTGCTCAATAGCTGGGTCCACATCGAATGGTCTACCATAATATGCTCGGATTGCACAAGGCATTATTTGCTCATGATCTAATATGGAGCGCAGCAGTATTGATACCCGGCTGATCAAAATAATCCATATTATATCATTATAACCAAGTACAGTTCACAGCAGGACATAAGCTGTGGAGCAACAGTGTGTTTAACTTGAAGAAGAAACTCCTACATAAATCTCGCATGCAATATTTCTAACTTAAGAAACATTGCATTGTAAAAAAAATCAGGCGTTGAACTACGGTTCTTACATTTTGGTACCTCTTTGTAGTGGACTGCTATAGTAATAATAGTGATGATTTGTTCTTTCCCTGTTTATAGCTTCGTGTCAAATTTGTATTTCTTCCATGTATCTGTGTTTTGTAAAGAGGACATTTATACTGCACTACACCCTATCGAAACTGTAACGTCGTAAATGACTAGCAGTTATAATGTACTAGCGGCCGTTCGCGACTTCGTACGCGTGGATCCCGTTTTTCCCCCGGAGTTTCGTATAATCCGTTCTTACTGAGCATCTACGTTCTAAAAGGAACCCCCATGCAAAATTGGAGACTTCTAGCACTTGTAGTTTCTGAGATTTCGTGATGAGTGAGTCAGTAAATCAGTGACCTCTCGCTTTTATAGATATAGATGTACCATATTTATCCTACCCACCTTCCCCCAGGTCCAGTGAACATCAGTACGAAGGCGCGGCTGGTGGCCCCAGGGCTGGTGGCGCCGGGCACGGTGTCGCTGACCTCCACGGAGCTTTACTTCGAGGTCGACGACGACGACCCCGAGTACAAGAAGATTGACCCTGAGGTACGTGCCTTTAGAGTTTAATCACAGAATAACAATAAGTACTACGTACAGAAGTTTTACTTCGCGAAGGTATTTAAAAAAATGTATGCTCAATGTCATTAACAATATGGTGTAATTTAGCTTGACTCAAGAGTCAAGCACCATTTTGTTGACAAACGTCAGTGATCGGCACTGCGCCTAAGCTATAGGGCTGACTTCGGTAAAATGATGTGACGTGAGGTGCCAAACTGCGGAAAATGGCGGAGGAAATACATGATTTAGCATGAATTATCATGAATAATATTAACTACTTATTTACCTCTCAGTGTCTTGAGGCAACTTAAAAAAGTACATTCTGTGTTTTTATTATTATTTAGGCAGTTAAATACTGCACAGTATTTAGTACACCATTTTCTTTATTTTCTTCAATGTTCGCTCGTATGTGAGGCCTTGTCGAATAGAATCCTGTAGGTGGGCCATCGTGCGTGTTTTGTTTTCGATGTAAACTCGCGGAGATGAACAGGCCTGGTATAATTGAGAAGTTTCGTGATGTTGAAAACATTAGATTTCACTGAATGGGATTATAATATAGACCAAAACTAAAAAGGTGAAGTTATTTTTGAAATCCATCAAGAAGTGGCTGAGAAATTAATTATTTAAATTACCTCCATATTTTCGCGTGGAACTTAAACATAGGCGGTGCCGTGACGTCTGGCCATCTGTTCAAGTTTCCATCACAATTCTTACCACCCCTAACGCACTGTCGAGAATGACACTAGAATGTCAAAATCTTCTTTTTCTTTTTAAATATGGTCAGGTCTTGGATATGTCAAAAAAGGTTACACAATTTTACTAAGAAAGAATCTTGAGTGACTTGTGACTAGACCGATCAAAATGGCGCGAATATTTGTTATGCCCAACTTTAGGGCCCTGTAACTTTTGTATTTGTAGAGATATTTTCATTATTCTTTCACAATTATTATAAGTTACTTATATTTTCAAGATTCATATTAAAAGAAAAAAATTGGAAACTTGTCCATTTAGACTACAGACTTTTTAGTCGGCCTATAGTTGGGCCCACACAGATCACACAAACTAAAGAGGGTGGGGCCGGTGTCGCAGCAATATGCCCAAAAACAGAACACATTGCTCGTGACCGCAATGATGACAGCAGCGACGTCATAAATTAGTAAACAGTTTACATTGCTTGCGTAGCACTAAAGATTATTCGAACGTTGAGTACTAATACCGCAGTGGATAATGAGAATTTTGATTTCTGTGTGTTTGAATTTCTAATGCGACACTGAGTTTGGAACTCAGTGCATTAGTTGGCATCTCTCTATATCTCTATGGTTGGGCCCGATTCTTTGAATCGGGAAAGTTGAACTTTCATACATGTCCGTCCATACTTATTAACAGCCCGTCCTAACATCGGCCAACAAAAAGTTAGTAGTGTGCGGTTAGGCTTAGTATACACGAGTCTCTTTAAGTGGTCAGCACCACAAAGAACAGTGTTATTGTTCTTTATGTTATTTTTAGGGTTCCGTACCTCAAAAGGAAAAAACGGAACCCTTATAGGATCACTTTGTTGTCCGTCTGTCCGTCCGTCTGTCAAGACCCTTTTTCTCAGGAACGCGTGGAGGTATGAAGCTGAAATTTATATCAATTACTCAGGTCTACTGTCCCTTGAAGCTGTGAAAAAATCAAACTTCTAAGCCAACGCAATCAAAAGATACAGCCGTTTATGCCGCAAAGGACATTGTCAGAAACCGCCTTAGATTCCTGGGCACAGCAGTAAAGTATCAAAATTAATCTCTTACTTTTTGAATACTTAAATATTAATTAGATTGTAACGGACACTTGAGGATTAAAAAATGAAATAATAAAAGTATTTTATATGTATAGGTGTACCAGAATCTCATGGCAAATGGGGAAAATAAACTTTGTTGAGTGCAATACTGGGGAAATTGGATTAAACGATCTTGATACTGTTAAATTTTTATTTATGACTAATATTAATGAACATGAAGTACGAATGCCTACCTATACATTTTAGGTATGTGTATGAAGAATGTTGTTTTACATCGGGTTTTTAACATAGGAACATGTCTTGAAAAATAAGTAAACCGTATATTACTGTAAATTATTTTATTAAGTATCATACTTATAACTTATCACTTCATTCAGAACTAGAAAACGATTCTAAGAATTCCACTTGCATTTCTTGTTCTTCAAATAGATGATCAAGTTAAAGAGGTATTAATATAATATAAATCGCTTTTTCAGCATTTCAATTACTCAAACTTGCTTGATGAAATCTTTTTCAATTTTCTTTACATGGTCATAACATTTTCACCATTCCTCTGCACCAATGCATGAAATACACCTGAAAACCCCGATAATGCTTTTAGGTAAGAATAATATAAAAATAAACATAACCCTCCTTCTGACGCAGTTAGGTAATAAACTAAATGTAGGTAAGTATCAAAACATTTCACTCCAACTTACTGTCAACTCAACGACGCGCTTTAAAATCAAAGATTGACTTTGAGTTATGCCTTATTTTACAATACACTTTGAAAACAATCTGACTTGCTTGAGTTTTTTCGTCTTTTTCACAAAAATAACAAATAGGCATGAAGAGATTACAAAATTTCTGCAGCGGCTGACAGATCTCTTGATTTACTTTGACAGGTGACAATAAAGCCATAGACAATGGCCATATGAAAAACACACTTTTCCAATATTTTTGTTTGCCATGAGATTCTGGTACACCTATAAATGCTGCGATGTCCCCATATTATTATTCCTCAGAAGTAGGCATGTTTATGTAAAGCGATTTCATAGCAGCTATTTTGGTTGTTACTTTGTGCTCTATACGATGCACAGTTGGCTGTTCGATGTGGAAGATATCACCTAGTACACACGTTCATAACTTCCCGTTGCGTAGAACCGTAGGGTTATAATAAGTATTTGGTCCACTGGTTGTATGGCGTTTGGTGAGGGGTTTCAAAGAGCTTCCAAATTATGAATCCAGAAACAACACCGTTTCTTTTGAGACGCGGAACCTCGCTCGGAATTGCATATCATTATAATAATATTTTTCAATAGCGTTCAGCCTTATTGCGTTCCTGCGATTAGATCTAGGTATTTCCTCGAGGCTCGAAAGAAATGATAACGATGACACAGACATTATTTACCACTATTTAGGTCGATTTAGGTATAAGAATAGGATTTAAGATACCGCGCAAGCACTCTCAAATTTAACGGCTGCTCAAGACGATTTGACAGTTGTTTGAGTAATGCTTAGCGTTGAATGGCGTTTCAGTATTCGAAAATTCATTTAAGTGGCGTTTGAGTGCAACTTACTTTGAGAGGTGCTTAAAAATTGAGAACTGCTCAGATATTGTTTTGAGTATGCGAAATGTAAGTTTAGGAGCTGCTTAACTATTTGAGAAGCCGTCAAATATTTAAATGGCGTTTCAGTATTCGGCCGTGAATTACAGACATTCAATAAATACTTTACGAAATATGAGGGTGGTACAATTTACCCGGCGGTACAATATACCGAACTCTCCCCTAATACTTGAATGCTCCCTTACTTGGTGGACACTTCACCCGGAATCCTCAATAGGAGATTGACCTGACCGCAGACCGCAAAATGCATCCAGTTTGGTGAATCCTTAAATGCTCAAGATGGTAGTGTATGTCGGCTTTTAAGTCTTTAAGTTAGTATAATTTTAATACGCGTGCTGACCTAGCATACAGTTTAGGATAGTAAGAGCTGATTTTTCAACTTTCGAATATATCTTATTATTGAAGAATAAAGTAGTCATTTTGACCTATTCCGCATATTGAAACTGTCAATGTGCCAACTTATTCATCTAAAAGTTATCTGGCGACTAAAAAAATCAGCCCTGGTGACAGATATTGATTGATATTATTCGGCTGATGTGTAAAATCTTATTAGAATTCGACTGCGTATTGTCAGCGAATTACTGCATTTTTGTTCAAAACAAGTTTTAACAATACATAAATTATTAGCAGCACGATAAAACACGCAACGATTTGTTTCTATTTCGTAACAATACTGCAATTACAACGGTCGTTAATAACATTCGTCATAACCCGAGGACTGTCGGCCTACGAAAATTCTTTATTAATTTTACGACGTTTTAACAAAAGACTAGAGACTACTCGTAAATCGTCGGTTTTATTGCTATACAAATAAAATCCTTTTTTGCTCTTCATAATAACTATTAAACAAATATTATAAATTGTGGCCGAGCGGAGACAATCGTATGACAAAACGGACCTCAAATAAGGTGCGACGCGAGATCTTTGTTCGATAATTTATTGGACCTGTTGGATATTCAAGGAGTAGTAAAATGAAAATTATATCATTTTACACTCAAATATTTATGTCATAACTTGACCACATAACCTTAAACAAAATCCGACCTTATAATCTAAACACCAAAGTTGAAACTCGCACGCAGCTGTGAGTGCGCTAGGGATGTTTGTTCACCGAGTGTGAAGTGATATCGATATTGTGTATAGGCGTGTAATATAGGCGGGTAACCGAATATGAGGCACTTAGGTGCACGAACAATGCAGCCCCGCGGCGCGCGGGCCTAACAGGCGCCACGGTAGTGATGTGAAAATTCAGATATCGAAGTTTTTTCAATTTAGGATTCATCTTTTAGAAAATCCTGTTATGTATTGCATTTTTATGTATGTAAAATCTAGGTAGGAAATAATAAAATATTTAGCTTACATAGTCGCTCTGTACAACACATTGGAAGTTAAATTAAGATAAGATAACAAGCGTTTATTTGCCAGAATACAGGTTATAAAGTTCTTACAAAAAATGTATTAAGGCTTAGATTGTGGCTAATAGTTTACCTAAAAGCTATAAGAACAGAAACTAATTGAAAATTAAATACTCTCTCTTTTTCAATACCTACTATTAATGATAATAGTGCTATGTTGTCAGGGTTGACAGTTTAAACCACGCGCACTGGTACCGCTGAACTACTTTA